GCTCACCAAGCCATTTTGCCAGGAACACCTTGTTTCTTTGCATACATGCTGCTGCAAACTCCTCCTAGCCCTCCTGGTTTCTTGCAGCATGGCGCTTGATTGCTTCCTCCAGCCCGCATTTCTACCGGACCCGATGCGGCCCCATCTGTGAGTTGAACCCCTCTTGCAATTCCCACCGCACTCTGGGGCTAGCTTTAGAATCTGTGGTCAGGTGAACAGATGGTGATCAAAGATGGGCAGTGACAGACTGCCTACAGGACCAGTGAGGCTCCCAGGTGGCTCCCCACAGTCTTTCAACTGTAGTAATGATAGTAATTGAAGGGGTGGATCAATCCGGCAGGGGATTCTACGAGGAGGCGTCGATAAGCTTCCGGGCGGCTTTGGCGCTGCGGCCGCAAAATGCGCGAGCGCTATTCCACCTCGGCAATGCACAGTTTGCTCTGCAAGCCTACGCCGACGCCGAACGCTCCTTTGAGACCGCCCTCAAGGTATGCCTCCTCTCTCTTGACTTCCCGTACTTCATTTTTGATCTTTCTATTATCTGGAAGGCAGGCAACATGCTCCGGGTTACATGAGGTAGTAGCATGGGGAAGCAAAGTGAAGGATTGGGAACATGCTTGATGCCGTGAATGCTGATGTACAGCCCTGGCTGGCACCGTTTTCTGCCATCAGAGTCCTCAGTTACCCATGCATAAGCTTGGCATTACCGTAGCGTGGACATCATGCTGCCCCGTTTTCACTTAAATGCCGGTCACACTGTGCAACAGATCCAAATATGTCCTGGGTCATTTTCACCCTAAACCCTAAAACATCAACCCTAAACCCTGAGCATGAAGAGTGTATCCTGCGCGCATGCAGGAGGTGCGGCTGCCCGGGGACGAGCGCCTGGTGCCGAAGGTGCACGTCAATTTAGGCATCACCCTCGAAGCCGACGGCCGCCTGCTAGCCGCCTGCAACCACTACCAGTGAGCGCTCTTTTAATCTGACTTGACTATTGGTCAGCTGGATCAGAGCAATGGTTCATTTGGACACCCTGCCAGCACCAGGAAAGATTGAACTTACTGTACCACAGTATAATAGTTTGTACATTTGGAAATTGTTTGAGCTCTCTGCCACCATTACCAGTGTGAATTCCCCCCCTTCTCGCCCTGCCATTGCAGAGTCTTTGCTCATTAGCTGGATGCCGCCAGTCTGTAATAACACAGATCATAGAAAAGAATAGCGTCGGCCAGGACATAAGACACGAGGGCTGCTTTGCAGCAGTTGTGCACATGCTGCTGTCAAGCCAGGCTTCTATTCATGTCAGCAAGTAGCTTTGAGAGCTATCTCGAATCCAGTGTACTGCAGTTCCGGGGATGGCCCTCAAAAAGGGGTTACTCACAACAGCATGCATGGCAGGTCTGTCAAAAAAGGCAAGCCTGGCTTTGGGCAAGGAATGTAGGGCTTTGGGGTTTCGAGTGCTATAAAACGGGGGCATAAAAGGTTGACAATACGCGCGCAGGGCGGCGGCGCGGCTGGAGCCGGCTCACTTCCGGGCGCGCAAGCTGCTGGGCAGCGCACAATACGCGCTGGCCGACCTGCCGGCCGCGCGCGACGCTCTCACGTCGGCGCTTGCGCTGCGGCCGGACTACGCCGACGCGCACTGCGACCTCGGTGCGCACGCGATTTTGATTTTGAATGTGAGTGTGAATGTGAAATTGCATGTTGCTCCTGCCAGCGTTCCTGCCCTGAGACCTGCCAGACAGAAGCACTGTGACCTTGTTCCGCGCTCTTTTGAATTTGAGCGCTGCTGTTGCCGGGGATTTCTATCGACTCTCTGTACTCGCAGATTGGATGCCAGGGGAGCCTGCCCTGCTTCACATGTGTCGAAGATCTGACGGGCTTTCTGCGCAACTGACTGAGAGCGCTGGCTTGACCACTTTTCACTCCGCTGTCAGTGGTGGTGCTCAAGACGCAAAATAGCAGGGACCAGAATACCTGCACCCGCGCAACAATGCGTGTCTGTCAGAAGATTGAAATGCGTGTTGTGCAGGATGCACGCTGTGCGCGCTGAACGAGGTGAAGGCGGCCAAGCAGGAGTTTGCTGCCGCGCTCGCGATCATGCCACGCCACCTGGAGGTGACTCATCGCACAAGCTCCATTGGGCGTTCCTGGCTCCACTTTAAACCGCCCTCTCGCCTTTTTGCATGCATGCAATCAATTGAAAAGAATAAGTCTTTGGCCTTTCCACACATCATCAGAAATTCATTCGCTCACGATTACATGGTGTCCTGCAAAATTCAAGCTTGCCACATCCGCATTGCCAGTGCTAAACTGTGTAGCAAAAGTGCAGCCTCTTTTTGACAATGAATCTTGACAAGGGGATAAGGATCGATTCGCGTTGGCAAAATAGGGATGCAAGAGACAACTCTGGTTGAAAGCTGGGCATATCACATGTGCGAGCGTTACAAACACCCTGAAAACCCTCCTTTTATGCCCCCTGCAGGCGCTGTTCAACCTGGGGAACCTGCAGCGCCAGTGCGGCGAGTTCGAGGCGGCGATATCGAACTACGAGGGAGTCCTGGAGATTTCCCCCGACCACTGGCGGGGACTGCTGAACTACTCTGTCGCTCTCGTCGGCGTGGGCAGAGACGAGGAGGCCAAGCGAGCCCTGCGCCGCGCCTTCAAGCTCTCAGGTGGGATTCACCCCTCGGCTCGATCACATATCACTATAAATATAGGGCGTGCATGGGTTTGCGTGCAAAGGGAGAAGCCTGTTTTTGTTGCATGGGGAGCAAGCCTTGTCTTGGTGCCTTTCTCTTGTTTGGTGGGGCAGCAAATTTTGAATTTTTTTTACAGTGCCAATTCGCAGGCCTGTGGCTTTGCCAGCTGCCAAACGTGCGATATGAAAGCTGCTGACACACGCTCCTCAGCTGATGATACTAATAAGCTGACGCCAAAATTGAGGATCTATTTGACCTGCAGGCTACAGCGGCAACGTCACAAATTTGATCCCTCATTTGAGAGAGTACAGGTTCACCTCTAAGACCTGTGCGCAGGCTACAGCGGGAAGGTGGCGGAGGAGATCGGGCAGCTGAAGCGGCTGGCGCGGCGCGGAGAGGACCGGGCACGGCTGGGAGAACTGATGGAGCACATCTCCGACAAGACCGCCTCCACCGTCCTGCAGCGGCCGGCCGCCTCGCCCCCGGCGCAGCCCAAGGTGCGGTCGGCGGCTCACACAGGGCTAAGCAGAATGTAAGCGAGGTTAGGAATGGAGTCCCCCAAATTCAAAGCAGTGCAACCAGTTCACTTTGCAATGGGTAGGGGAGGGTGCAGTTTCTTCACAAGGGGCACTCGTGGTCAAAGCAGAGGTCAACCATGCCTGACTGTTTTGTCTCTGAAGATTTTCCATCCCACTGTTGATGAGTATGGAAGACAAAACCAACAAGTGTTATCTCGCCATTTGCAGAAGATGTGGCGGTCGCCCATCGGCCGCGGCAAGCGCGCGGTAGTCGCGGGTACCGGCGGTGGGCAGTCCAGTCAGCAGCTGCCCGGCAGCTCCCTGGACGTCAGTCTGCTGCGCCAGCTGGAGCCGCTCGCTTCACTCACCCCCGCCGCGCTGGCCGCAGCCGCCACCGACGCAAACCTCGACGGCGCGCGATCGGCCGCCTCTCGCGCTTTGGTGAGGCCTTGACCTCTGTCCGCTCTTACTATGAATGCCGGCAAGTGGTGTATGGCGCATGCTTTCTTTGGACAATTATCATTGGAGCACCTTTCGTCGTGGCTGTAATATTAGCTCAATGATTCACCATGTAGTACTGAGCAGTGAATGGATCTATTGTCCCCCCTGTCAACCCCGCTTGATGTATGCGATTACCATGCACATGCTGAGCACACCTCGGCAGCAGCCTGACAAAGCCTTTCTGCTTCCTGAATTTCACGGCCAAAAATAACACTCTCACCTCCCAAGACAACACGTGTCTGATTGCGTGAGCAGCCCGGGTTCAAGGGCGAGCCGGAGGCCAAGCGGGTGAGCGCGGCTGCGGCGGAGGGCGTTCTGCGGCGGCTCATGCCAAAATTACCAGCGCTGCGATTCCAGCACCTTATGCGCATTGTTAGGAACGACTTTCTGCGCGATCTGGAGCCTGCCGACGGGTGCGCACCCCTCAATATGCAACAGCTCGTGCTATGACTGTTTGTGCAGGCTGAGCATATGCAAGCGGCACGAAGGGCCTAATCAAACGACCTATACACGCATCCTCGGTTTTCCTTGACGTCAGTATAAATGAAGCCAGCTTTGGGGGAACAGTTGCTTGTGGGTCAGATTCACTCTCTGGGATGCTTGTCCAGAGTGCGATATATGCATCTTTGATGTAAGGCAGTTTCCTGGTATTACCCAGATGCCTGAAGGGTGCCTGCCAAGATATGGCATTTTGTGTGGTACATGGCCTGAACAATATTTTCCAAAATAAGTCACTCAATAAGTTAACTGACTTGCCAGGGGCACGGATCTGGGCATGCTTCTGGCGCTGCTGGTTGCGGTCTGCGACGGCGATGCCTCCTCCCGGCTCTCGGCCGCGCACGCCGCCCTCAACTGGCGCTCCGACTTCCGCGGAGTCACCCGCTCCGCCGCCGCACGCTACTCGCGCTTACTAAGGGTGAGTCACCCCCCTTACTGTCCTGAGCTTCTCTGGCAGGATGATCTTTTTGGGTTTGCTGTCCATGCATCCAAGGTGTTTGGAAATAGCAGCGCAATAGATTGTAATTGCCAAAGTGAAGGTCTTTTTGACAACTGTCTTCTTAGAGCTTTCAGAACAATGCCAGGCTTGCATTCCATGGATCTTGCCAACAGGACCCAGTTAGTCAGCTTCCACTTTTCTTTTCATTGGGGCGATCCGATGCCTGGAGAACATCAGCACCTGGTACTATGCACTTTCAGCCTCCCAGCAGCCGTTTTAAGTGTTGCTAAGTGCAGCTAGACTGCTCCGCTGTGTTCTGAGGGACGGTTGCCGTGCTGTGCAGAACATCTACGGGCGCAAGCAGCGGTCCGTAACGGCGGCGGAGGGATCGCCAGAGGACGGGGGCGATGTCTTGTCTGAGCGCCAGTTTGCAGATGTTGTGCTTTCAGCCAAAGGCGGCTGCCCAGCCTTCACAGCGCTGCATGCTACAGCTCTCCCTGCCAATGCAGCATGAACGGGCAAATACATACAATTGATCTGGCTCTGCAGCATAGGCTTGAATCCCTGGATTGATACCCATGCAAATTTGATTGCCTCTGCTGCGTGCAGCGGGCTCTTTGCCATCTTTGGAGAGTCTCTAAAGCTCTGAAGTGGTCCAAGTTGTGTCCTTTGTGGTTGAAGTTCACTTCGTAGTTATTGAGTGGCAACGGCTTCGTTGTGCACTTCTGTGATGCCTTGGTAGTGACCGTATCACTCGCAATGTGTATGTCTGGCACCGTGAGTGATCCAAGAATGTGAACTATTGTAGGGCAGCCCGGTGTTGATATACCATTAGTTGCCTCAAAGCTTAGCTCTGCTCACCACATGCCCCGTGGGTGGTGTGCGAACAAGTGTTGCAATGTACATTCCAATTGGTGTTGTAAATAGTGCCATCTGCCATTCAGGTGTCAAGTAGTCAACGCAGTAAGCTAGCCTTGGCAATGCTTCTTTGCAGCGTTACCATCGTCTGCGACTGTTCCTTTGCAAAGGACACACTTTTGCTAAGCAAACCTTCAAAATAATTGAATATATTTCAAGGGTCTCTCACGACAAGCAGATGCAATGTTGCTGCCAGCCAATAGCTGTGGGCGCTTGTTCATAGTACGATACACCAGAAGATACGTTGCAACTTCGCACGACCCTCCATTCTGAGTCAAATTTTTGCACGACTTCGTTAGTAACTTGGCAACGCCGAAACCTCACCCTGAGCTTCATTATGATTCTGACCCCGATCTTCAGTCTAAGAACCACAGCAATACTGGTAAAAGAACAAATTCACAGCATCTGCCCCCCAGCCCCTGGAAATGCAACGCACCGTTATTGCACTCCAGAGGACAACACCTACTGCCAGGCCGATCGTCACATATGCGTGCGCCTTTTCACTCCCATTCATATCAATTTTAATGAAGCCTGCGGCAATCGCAGCGCATCTAGCAGTATCGTACACGGGAACTGCAAGCTACTCCAATCTGAAAGCCATATCCTGCCATCTGCGCCAGTCGTCGGCTGCAGGATCGGTATCAATATTGGCCGTCAGCATGAGCACGGCTGTAAGAAGCCCAACATAAAACCAAAAGGAGAGGTATTACTGTAAAAGAACACGTAGAACGCCGCGGGACTTTGGATTTGGGAGTCCTCCATGCCACCGGGGGGCATGACATGTGGCGAGTATGTGACCAGTGGCAAATAGTGCCGCAACAACAGCGTATGAGCTTGCGCTGGCTTTCAATCCTTCCATGAGACAAATGTGCTGTTCCGTAAGCTATCCTCCGCAATCATTGACTCCAGTCCTCAAGTGACCCAGGTCCAGTGCCACATATCCATAACCAAGGATAGGGATAGATCGCAAGTGCACTAGGGAGGGCTCAAACCAAACTCTCTCGCACTTGCTTGCCATACTTTCTTTCTCCTTTGTGGCCTCGATGTGCAGTGAACGATGTTCTCTGCTGTCACAGTGTGCCATTTGAGATCACCCCTTGAAATCACCCCTTGCCAGAGTGTAGCTGTTGCCAGAAGATTGATACAGCTGCCAAGTCACCAGGACAAGCCACTTCAAGTTTGCTATAGCAGGCTTGGCAATCCGGGACTGGCAACCTTTATCTGACAATGCATAGCTCAGGGAATAATCCGATTGTGCACAGCCAAAATGGTAACTTTTGAACAGTGGGAAACAGTTCTCCCGTGCAAAACAAGCTTGATCTAGATTTCTAGACAATTAATATCTCATAGAAGACCCTCTCAAGCACACGGAAGAGAACCCAAGCCGTGGCCCTGACATATCTGGACCTTGGCACCTTCAACCAAGCTGGCAAGTTAATCAAGGCATGACATCAAGTCCTTATCATTTCAGGAAGCATGCAGTAATGTCAGTCATGGTCATTCATCAGATGCCCACAAGGAAAGCCCTCACTGCTGCACAAGCTCCGTTTGTCTGAACGAAAGGCTGTCCATGCGAGCAGGTGCCGTAGTGGTGATGTTGCATTATTGGGGACAATGATCCAATGCAGAACCTCAAGGAGTGCTCGAGCCCTCCTGCCTGACTGTCGCCGTTTATTGCCTGCCAGCAAACTTCCCCCAAGGACCAGCAAGTTCCACATTACCAGCCATGAACATGGAAGCAACAGGAACATTACTGGGTCACCCCATGGCGCCCAAATTGCGGTACAGTGGTAGTACCACAACCCAGCCGGCTTCCCATGCCTTCAATTCAAGCTCGGTAGCTTCCAGAACTCGTTTCAGAAAAGGCGCTCAGACAAGTGAGAGGCCCTCGGTGTTTTCCCGCTCGCCAGACTTGAGCTTGGCGTAGAATCCGTGGGTCTCGGCGATGACATTGAGAGTGAACTCCTTGTTCTGCCACGTGTCATCATAGCCGAATTGGTTCTCGGGCTTGCCATCGGGCTTCTTGTAGTCGCGGAACCATATCCGGATCTTGTCCAGCTCCCCGGGGAACTCCCTGCGATTATAAGAGGGTTTTGTCAGGGTTGATGGTGAGCTAATAGGGTGAGTTCACCACCCTCACAAGCTGGGGAACTCCCTGCAATAATGCGCAGCGCAAGACTCGGAACATGTATACTCGAGAGATTCAATGCATGCATGAGTGCACGTCAGCCCAGGGGGTTACAACACAGCCCATACTTCTCATTGCATCGTCTGCATGGAAATCTGATATGATCATCACTGCACCAAAGTGAATTTCAAAGTTTCCATCTCAACATCGACCTCTCAGGTGCACCAATCTGCTTTCTTACATAATATACAAAACGCAGCCGAAATGCAGCTAGGAATAAAGAAGAAGATAAGAAAGAAGAGCTTCTTTCTGCCATCAATACGCAATGCCCCTGCTTGCGCTGCCTCCAAATTATTCGGCCAAGATGAGCGCTCACCTCTCCACGTCCTCCACATCGTTGACAAGGTCGGCCTTGGGGTCGTCCGTGCGGATAGCGGCGATCTTCCAGTCCAGTTCACCGTCGTCGATCATGGCAAGAATCGCCAGAGGCTTGACCGCGTACACTCCCCCCATCGCGCACTCCTCGCTGCCGATCTCAACAACGTCCACCGGATCGTTGTCTCCCTGCGATTGGGCCAGCGAGAACAGGCAAACACTTAGTTTTGGGAGTCAAAATAGGCGCAAAATTTTTGAAGCAGGCAAATGAGCACGCAAGCGCCAAAACAGGCGGATGACACCAGCTGCAGACAAGGGCAAATAAGGCAACACACCCCATAAGCCAAAACAGGCGCGAAAATGGTCCCAACAAGAAATTAGTGTCCTATATTTCTGACGGATAAACACCAGCTTCCACTGAGTTGAAAGAGGGGTGCTCACTGCAACTGCATGCAAGAAAGCGCCTTCTGGCAATATATGATAACTCTGGTGCTCTTGGGTGTGCCTATGGTGTTCTGTGTCAGCCATCCCTCAGTATTGCAGATGTATAATCAGCACCCGGCATTTCTGCCGGGATGTCATAATGATGTATGTGTGTGATAGATTATCCTCATCGGGATTGCTGCAGATAACCTCTCAAAACTTAGCCAGTACACACTTGACACTCCCTGCCGCTTTCACATCTGCTTTGTGCAATGTAACAGCTTTGTTAAAGCCCAGTGAAAAGCGGGAAAGGTAGGGAGAATACCATGACCGCACAGAATTGCGAAATCTGATACATGTGTTGCTAGACATACTTGGATCCCAGATCCTACAAACTGAAAAAGGTGTACAAATTTCAGTAAAAAAAAGGGGGGGGATGTACCGCGACGCCGCCGATATCCTGGGCCTTGTGGGCGGGGTCCTCCCAGGTTTGGGGGAGCATGCCATAATTCCAGTTGATGTTGTAGGGGTAGTGCCGCAGCTTCCCCTTCTTTGTGTCCTGCTTTATGGGAGTCAGCTCCTCATCCTGCGCGCACATCCATCGCGGCATCACTCCAGAGCACCAACAGTATGGTTTAAAAGTTTGTTTTGTTGCTGCAGGGCAATTAAGAAATGCTGGCGGGCCTAATCTGCTCAAGGCAGTCCGGCTCTTGTAGGAGCAGATCCCAGTGCCATGAAGATACACAAGAACAGTCTCTTGTGATGCATGCCCACATCACCGGTCGCTGAGTATGACTCATTTACTAAACTCAGGACCAGCCCTCAGAAATGCTGACACCAGTGCTTTCAAGAGCTATCAACCGCTCGGAAGCAACCCACAGCTCTGAAGGGCCATCCTTTCTCACAGAGTCCATTTCGAAATTGCAGGACTGCCAGGAAGTATCTGTCATCATGCACATCACATGACTAGCCGCTTGGCTACTGCAATAAGGGGTTGCATGTGGATACAAGGGGTAGGATCGTGGCAGCCTTTACCTGCAGCTTGTCTGCAGGGCGTACCTTGCGTGTAACATACCTCAATAATGTGGATAAAGGGAAAGGAGCAGGGGGACTCACTGTGGCGCACTCCATTTTGGCGGAGGACTCCTTGGGGATCTCACACACAAAGCTGACCAGGCCGCCGTCCAAATACAGCGGCACATCGTGCCATGCTGACGTGTCCTTGCCTGTCGCATGACATCACAACCCTCTATCAGACAGGGATAAAAAAAGTGGCACAGGTGCAGATTAGGTGTCGAGTTCACCAGGCAGCTGTGCCTGCCTGATGCATGCCCAGACTGTACAGATGGACACCCGCTGTTGGGCTGAGTTGACAGTCCATCAGTGTCAATGCACAAGCTTTTTTCAACTGGGTTACAGGCTTTTCCTGCCAAGAGGCAAGATTTGTTTGCAGACAAGCTGCATGTAAAGACTGCCACACATCCAACCCCGTGTTGGACTCGTCAGATCCGAGCAAGACCCATGAACTGTGGGAACGGTGCTCAGTATTTACAATGCCCCCCGCCAGCCGGGCCAAGCCAGTATAAGAGGGTACAATGCAGATCAGTGCATGTGAGCGGCATCTTGACAAGGCTTCTGTGTCTGCCTGATGCATGCTCATCCTGAGCAGAAGGACCAGCGCTCATGTAGTGAAATGTGCAGCCTATCTGAGTATGTGCGAAGATGGGAAGCAAAGAGAAGAGCCCTCACCCTTCTCTTGCAAAAAGATGCGGAAGTCAAAGGTGTTGGCCTCTCCCTGCAGCAGCCAGCACACAGAAAGTATTGCCTTGCTTCTTAAAAAGACTGGCTTAAGGTAAAATCTACAGCATTGCGTCAACCTCACTGTCATATGCGGAGACTGGGGATCCTCTGCATGCACAGTAAGAGAGAAGCTTGTGTAAGGACTTCATAGCGAAACCTTACCCGCTCCACCTTTGTGTAGGTGTCTGCTTTGGTGGCAACAGCACGGACGATTGCTCCAGAGCGCTGCCTGTGCTGCTGCAACCTCTGTGGTTGCCTGCTGGATCGAAGGAGCCCCTGCAGCAGTCACATTCTCTGTCTTCGCGGTGTAATATGATCAACCTTTTGAAAATTTTTCTGCACACCCTTCGAATGCTTGGGACCCAAGTCCAGATCAACTTCACTGCATCGGGATCTGGAATATCCAGCAATAGTTACGTGTAGATTGATTTGCTGAGCGAAGTATTTCAGCCCAAATGTGCTGCAGTTTTAGACTCAACCACCACAATTGCCTCGCAGAGAGACGAAGATACCTGCTTGACAGATGAGCCGCAAGCCACCCTCTGAGGTGCAGCAGCACTGCCGGCACACTTGACCGCCGTCCTCATAATGGCTGCCATTTTGACCAATCTTCCGTCCTGTGAATGGCGCCCCAAACGATTTCTTGTAGTCCATGGCTCGGCCTGATCTTGCACGTGCGCTTGCTGAGCCCCACAATAGCAGGGTTTGGAAGAATATCTCAGCCCTAGGCAGCGCCAACTCAGGCCGCCGTTTGAATGTAAGTCACGACAGCCGACACCTTGTTTATTTCAAGTAGACACTTCAAAGAAGAAGACATGCATTTACATCATCTCAGCCATTTTGCTTTTTCGAGTCTCGTAAGCCGCTCACAAGCTCGTCCGAACGGTCCCAGCAACTGCTTGCACAATCATTGATGAGATGATCTCGAATCAAGGCTTGGAAAGCAGGCTGTCAGATGGTCTGTATCAGGTATACATAAGAAAAGAAATGGTATCGAGAAGTGCGTGTCATGGTGAGCCCTAAAATCCCCGGCGCATGGAAGGACAGGATGCGGGGTTCGAGACTCCTTCTCTGCAAGTTTGATTTATTCAGGAATCTTCATGTTCTGAGAATCCGAGTGACTTGCGGCCTGTTAAAAGCACCCGCATGCAGGTGAAGAGAGAAACTCTGCAAATACTCTGGTCCTTGATTAATTACACTTTCGAGCAAGGTTAAGCATGCATGTACTGTGACTGTAGCCCCACTTGATGGGTGTCTAGATGGTTAGGTACTGACGAGACCTGCGAGACTTCTTATTCCATATGAACCCACAGATGACTGAAATGGACATCATTATTGAGGCACTGATCAGTCCTCTTTCGCCACCAAGCTGACATACGTGCACTTGAAATACTGCTTGTAGCGTAGTTGAAAAGACTGAAAGGAAGAAAGTAAAAAGCCGATGCAAACGATTAGCACTCTTGCTAGTGCATAAGCAATCACTATGCTCCATCCTGAAAATAACAATGAAGCCCATTCTCCATTCACAGTATACCCCACATCTTTAGCAATTCATCCCATTGATTATAACCATAGTACTCTCATCATACAAATGTCTCCTGGAAAACTTTGCACATGCTGCAGGTGGCATACAAGCTGCCTGCTAAAACTCTGTGACTCTGCTCTGCTTGAAATCCTTCATAGCTCCAAAGTCCACTTAGCAACCCACAATGCACCAACTTCTTCTATCATCAAGGCTGAAGCACTGTTGCTCAATGAGCAATGATTGCATCTTGATTCATAACAAGGCCTCGCAGGGGGGCTTATTAAGCTCACTGGCAGGGGAAAATTCCAGGCCCATAATTTTGCAGGCGCTTAACCTCCGAGGTAAATCATTTACCTTTAAAGTGAGTCACTGGCAGGGGAAGCTTCCTGGGCCGTACAGGGCAAAGCGCCACAGGCAGAGGCAGAGGGGCACGAAGAAAACAAACGCCAGCAGGGCGCCAGCTGGAAGCAGCATGCATCTGACGTAAGGGTTAGTCAGTAGCTCGCGCTGTTTCTCCTCCACCGCATCCTGGCCGCACACAAAATAGGACAGATTAGGCTTGATACAATAATTTTGGCATGAAAAGTACCTAGAGAAACTTGGAAGTTACTCTAGCTGTGTAGCTGTGAAAATGTTCTGCAGTTACTAGCAAACAGTAAAGTGGAGCACGCTGCCCGGCAAGCCACTGGGCGCTATTTAAGGCGTCAGCAACAGTTTGCAAAAGTCTCACAAGCCGTGAACGATTGCAACGGTGCATGCTCACAAGGCTTATGGAGCGCTGCGAGTTTCTTGGCTTGTGGGCCAATTGGCTCTGCCTTGGAAGATGTGCCAATGTCAAGCCTCAAATCAAGGCAGAGCAGGAAGCTCTGTCATCATGCCGTGAGACCTTTCATGCAGGAGCCGTGGACAATCTAGACCCCAGGGATGCCAAACTGGCCCAGAGCTGTGAGCCTGCAAGCGTCTTACCAGCCAGCACTATCTTCTTTTTTTGTGCCGCACAGCACACAGGAGGCTGGACAGTTTCCGACTGGTGGGTCGATTGGCTGATTGGTACTGGTGCAATCTCATGGCTGTACCCATTTACCTGGCTTGCAAGGGTGGATAAGAACAGTGAGCACCACTGACTACGGTCGCTTGCATCCACAAGATTTATTTTTGCATACATTCTGTTAAGACCGACAGATGCATTCTTTGCCTGCAGGTCGTCGGCAGAAGCTTGGTCTCATGAGAGGCAAGGCATGCAACTTCCAATTCTGCATGCTGCACCAGGTACAGTGCGCAATCAGGGGCCCAGGGCAAGCTCCACATCTAAGGACTGGATCAGAGATCATGCTCTCACCCACAAATTGGGGTTGCATACTCTGCATTAGTAGAGTTTGATGAGCATGTCATCACTAAACGCTGCATGGGCCAGTGGAGGTCTCTTTGGGATACTAGGCAAGGAGGAGAAGGTCTCACATAGGAGCCCAGCACGATGTCCTTAGCGGTCAGGCGGGATGCTGCGCGGCAGCTGGGATTACTGGATGTCTCGGCCAGTGTCAATGCATGCACCGCTGCCGCGTGCGCGATCACATCCAGGCCCTGCATGCTCAGCATGCCTTCCAGACCTGCGCATTCGAAATTCGAATTCGTGATAGTGAGTCAGCAGCGCAGCAGATGTTCCGCTGAAGCCTACAGATCAGAAACAGGGCTGCACATGCATGACACTCCAGTCAACCCTGTGGCTTCTGCCGAAATCTTACAGGGAGAGCCCTGCACTAGCGCACTTCTATGGCAGGCCGTCTGCTTTGCAGAAGTATGCTCTGTGATGAAGCCTACAAATGACGAGGAGACTGCTTGGCTTGGCAGTCCCAGATGTGATTGGCAGAACTACTTCTGCAGGAATGGAGCAAAGCACCATGCATGTCGGCATGCATCTGGACACTCGACCCTAGTGATTAGAGACGCTGTTGCCCTGCTCTGCACAATTCGGTGAAGCAGACAGGAGGGGTAAAAGCATCATTGCTAAGAGAGCAGTAGCTCACATTCGTGGACTGCCGAGCGCGTGCCGTCAGTAGTCTCTGCCTTAACGATCTTGGAGATGACACCAATGGCCTCATCAGACGACAGACACTCCAGGACTTCCTTGATGCTTGCATGCAGCCCAGACTGAACGAGCCTGCACCGAGCCACAAAGCATCGCTCTTGCAACGTTAACAATGCTGAACTTTCGGGACTGCCTGTGTCGACACCAGATTCCAGCAGACAACAGAGGTCTTGCGGTGCTACAATCTACATTCTGTCCTGCACTGCAAAATATCAAGCATCCAAGGCAGTGCTGCGAAGTATGATAAGGACAACGATGGACTCCTTCGGACGGGCAACCGGTCGTGACACTGGCTCGCACCCTTCGACATGGCGGTGGACTGGCTGAGCGTGCTTGTCGTCCTCCTTCATCCTTGGCAGCTTTGTGAGCAGCCTTCTCACCTTGTGCAGCAGACTCCCTGGCGCTGATTTGGCCTTGCCGATCTTTGGGCAGAGAAGGCTTTTGCTCCGACGACCAATCTCGGAGGCTGCTCTGAGCAATGTGTCGATCAGGAGGGGCTGTCCAAGATGGAATGTGTTCTCGCGATATATGTTTCTTATTCTTGTACACATGCATGCGTTTATAAATAGACGTGCCTAGATTGGCGCCGTGTATGAGTAAAGCCGACCCAATAAGCAAGGAAGTTCAGCAGCGTGTTTCTCGGAGAAGCAGAGCGTACAAGAAGAAACGAATTGATTATTGGGAAATTGACGCTTCTTGTTGGATACAGAGCGGTAGGTATGGCGGCTGTGCCTTCCATCGGAAACATCTTTCTTTTGGGTCATCGACGTCACCCTTGATCCAGCCATTGTCAGGAAATGTTATCGATCACAAATCATTTCAAGTGATTCTGCTTGCAGGTCGGAGTTTGAAATTTGTCACGATGTGTCGGTATATTGTGTGCGCTCTGCTTCTCGCAGCAGCATGCATGCCGGATGTTGGAGCAGGTGAGCCGATATCCATCCTGTTGCAAACAGAATGATGGAGAATTGAACTTTGACGAATTTTCAATGCTAGGATGCAATATTGGCCAGCGCTCTTGATGCAGGGCAGTGATCTGTGGCTGTGTAGCTCTCGTCTACTTACGACGTGATCTGAACCTAGCCAAGGAGGAGAACGGTCGTCGACATGAAGTCCGACCTCCGGAGTATTTTCAAGTTTTTGACGGCTCCTTTCTTTGTGACTCAATTTCTGATGGTCTCAGAGACTTTTGCGAGCTGGGATCCCTTTTTGGACAGTCTCATCCCTTGTCGGACGGTGCCTCCCTCCAGAGGGTCTTTCCTCGATTCCCTTGCTCGATGCATTTGATTTACTCCACATTTCCTTGAACTCTCCCAGCCTTGTACGTGCAGGTAATAGGCTGACCCCAAGGGCCCGCCAGGTCCTACAGGCGAGCGATGGCACCACCTCGGCTGCCTACTTGGCCAGCAGCAAGGCTAGCGACGCAGCGCAGCCCCCAGACAGCAATCTGGGCCGGCGGCTGCAGCAGGGAACGCCTGCCAACACAGGGACGCCCTCTGACGCCTACGGGACGACCACTGGCAAGCAGGGGAAGAGCGGCGGTGCACCTTTCTCTGCCACAGCGCCCGCCCCTTCTATGACCATGGCCTACCAGACCAACCAGGGCAAGCAGGGACAGGGCATGTCTGCCACTGTGGCTCCCCCGCAGCAGGGCCGGAGACTCCTGCAGGTGATTCTTTTCCCCTCATAGAGTGCTTTTACGCGTGTCTTGTAGTCTTTGCTGCAGTTTGACCTAAAACAACTTTGCTGACGAGATTAGTTAGGGTATCAATGGCAGTATGGCCAGAAGGCAATCTGTAGGGGCGCGCATTGAATTTATTACACATTGCAAATGCTCATTGGTGCCAGAAGATGGTTGGCAGGAAGGTGACAACTCATACCCGATGTGCCCTGAGCGTAGGCGATAAGGGGCTTTTGCATGAAAGCGCTGTTTGATGCTGTTTTCGTTCCAGCCAGTCTCTGTGTCACCTTGCACTTGTCACAATGCTCAGCTGTGGTATCTTGACTGAATTTTGTATGGTGTCTCGCGCAGACTTGGAACCGCTGAATCTGGCCTGTCTGCCGGCGACAGAGGTGTGTGCCCCGCACCGTATTTCATGAATCATGTGATCACAGCAGCCTCTGCAGAAGTGTCTATGTTCTCCTGAATTTCCTGCTCACACCATATGCAAGGCACCATGTTTGATGCTGCAGTTGCCATGCTGGCTCCCAAAATATCAGCTCTTCTGGAGATGCAGGTGTCTCTGGCAATGGAACTAGGGGCTTAAGGCCACTGCATAGAACAAGATAATGGCGTCTTTGGCAATGAAAATCTGGGTTTGAAGCCCACTGCATTGAATTAGTAGCGCAGTGTTCCGTAATTACGTCCCTTTTGCATGCATGCAGGCTCCCAGACAATCGGTTCCACGGGCAACGACGGCGTTTCCGGCACCGGAGCTTCCGGCAGCGGCGCATCGGCCGATCAGAGCTGCGCAAACGGCGCGAGCATTGCACCCGCCCCGGCCTCTTGAAAGTTGATGAATTTGAATTCAAATTTGATCATGCGCAGCCTGTCTTGCTGCAGAAGACACAATGTGTCAGCATCCTTGCAGATGTATCTTGTCGTTGGGGACCGGTTGCAGCTAGTGCCAGCATATTTGAAATAAAAATCGAATTCGAATTCGACTTCAGTATGCCGAAGCAGGTGCAGGTGCAATGCCATCGGAGACACCTTTTATGGCCAGTGTCAGCAGCCTTGCAGACGAGTTCAGTCCTTGGGGGCTGAATGAATGCAGCTGGTGCCAGCATTGACCCCGCACCTGCCCTGGCATACCGGATTCCATAGATGGGCTACACGCTACTCTAGTGTAAGTACACGCTACACGTACACGCACTGTACTCTAGCGTAGGAATTTTCTGGCCTAATACACGCATTCCACACGCAAACTCCTATTTATGGGGGTTTGGAGCACTTCTAGGGCACCAAACATGGGTAAGATGTCATGGTATGCGTTCCCAAGCCTGGAGAGCTCATTTAAGCATGCTTGGGTGTTTAGAATTATAGATTTTCCGCACCAATGGCTCTTGACTAGACAGGGTGGAGCCGAGGAGGATACCCTCTGTAATTCCCCCTTATCTAAAAGAAGCATTCATGCACACTATAAATGGCCCTATAGCATTGTAAGGCTTCCCAAAGCATGTTGAAAGGTTTGGTGACCCTTCTACTATGAATTTGGCGGGTTTTGAGCTATTTTTGACGGTTTCTGAGTGATTACGTAATCGGGCACGTGACCCAAGCCTACACGCACGTGTACAGCACGTGTTTGCGTGTGTGATTTCCTGACCATGCGTGTAGCCCATCTATGCCGGATTCACTGTACACTGTACATCAGCCTGCACATTTGCAGGCTTGACAGTGTCTGACCTGTCTTTGGTAGTCTGTCCACCGGCAGGGTATTTTTGTCTCGCACAAAGATCTGAATTGGTATAAAGTGCCATTCACAGTGGCGTCTGCGCACAGTCAGGGCCCCAGGTTGTGTGGGCTGGATGATTTCATTGCACTCTCTGGCGAAGTGCCTGATTGCATGCTGGGCAGCACAAAGAGTCTAAGACGTGTAAGTTCTGAGTCTCCGGTAGGAAAGAATGTGACGAGGTTGCCACAACTTCAGCATCTCAATGAAATTATTAAAAGTTGCATCTTGACCACCACAGTACCGATGGGCAACTTGTGAAGTCTGCTGCATTGTAAGGGCTGCTGATCCATCAGAAGGCTTTCCAAAGATTGATCTCACATGGTGGGGATACAATATACAAGGGGGAGAAAATGAACTCATTGCGTGTGGAAGCGGCGATGCGGCAAATCGCGCATGTGCACAGAGGGTGGTCAATCATATGCGTGAGAACTTGATGCATGCGCAAGGAACACTGGGAATATTTCCGGATCGATTTTCAGGTACATTCGGGGATGCGGCCGCTCCTGAGACACCCGCATCGTCGCTGTCTAATCCATCCCAAAGTTTCCAGTGGTTTGCTAGGGACGGCCCCTCAGCATTCCTGTAAGGAGGGAGTGTAGACCTGTAGGCTGCAAGGGTGCATTTGCGAGTTGACAAGGCTGCAAACCTGTGCATATCAACCCCGGGGTCCGGCTGCAGACAGACCTGTGTATGCCCTATTGTGGCCCTCTGGGCTCTGGGTTCGCCACTCATGAAGATTGTTCTTATTATTATTATGGAGGGTGGCAGAGCATGGGGAGGGTGCATGCAGGAGGATGAACGAAAAAGCAGGATAAGAGAAGAAATGTTGCAGTACTCAAAACCTGTCCCGGACACACGAGCGTAATGTTACCCATTTCATCAGAGTGTTTGAGTTTGCGTACCCGCACACAAACATGGAGTATTCCCACAAAAGTCTCAAAGCTGCTCGTGTGGTGCAGGCTGGTTTCAAACGTCAGCAACACGTAAACTCAACGCATGTTGAGGCATGCATGCGCTTAATCTGAACGTGCCTGAAGGGCGCCTCGTGACTAAGCGGTGAGTAAGAGGTGCATCTTTCTAAGTGAAGGTCCAAATTGCAGGACCGTGAAAACAGCATCTTTCGCGCAGAGTGATCTGCACATATTATTCGATCGATATCAAATATCTGTGTGATCATCTTCAGTTGTGGGAACAGATCGGTAGGTCCGCTTTATGTTGTCCGAACCGGATCTGACCATCGACACACCCCAACACGCGTTCTGCTCCAGCTGTTCTGATATGAAAAGTCCTCGATCACATCGGGTTTCCGATATCTTCCCTGTAATACGCAGGTGTATCAAGAATGGGTTCCTCCAGATGTCAGTATGTTGTCTGCGTCCTACTGCTTGCACTAGCGGCAGCTAGCGCGCCGGCTGCCGATGCACAGGCCGGTGAGCATCGAACGGCGGCAGCCTGCATTGCTGTCCAGAACTTTCGAAGACTTTGATCATCCCATAGTAGACTCTTGTCTCATCCAACAATTTTTCGTTGGGCTGGACGGGAGTTGCGACGCAGCTCCACCTTCTTTCGATCCGATCGCAAGTGAATAATGCGCTCGGCGGTCTCTTTTCCTTTCTGTCCATGCGCATGTTTGTATTATCAAAGGTCTTGATGCGAAAAGCTGTCTAGTTAAAGGCAACTTTCGCCGGTCTATCGATGAGAGTCTGCAAGAGGCAATGCAAAGCCCAACACAGAGTCTCCTTCTACAGATGGCTACGATGGATCGTTTAGACCGCTGCTTTGCTTATCAGACAAGTTCTGATGAGCCTGATGAACGCAATGCCTGCAGGCAAGAAGCCAGCTCCCGCCCCTGCCCCTGCGGCAAAGGTGATGGGTCGTCATCTCTTGCAAGCGAGCAAGAAGCCGGCCCCCGCCCCTGCTCCTGCAGCAATGATCATGCAGGGGACCAAAAAGTCAGCTCCCGCGCCCGCACCAGCAGCAAGGACGACTGGTCGGCATCTTCTGCAGGTACATTCTTTTGACTCAAGCCCTTTTGACTCGAGCCCAAGTGCCGATCATCGCACATATTTATGGAGCCAAAGGCAAGCAACTTTGCAGTGTCACTTCATCTGTGAGGGCAATGGCTTGTAACTGGTGCAGGCGAGCAAGAAGGCAGCCCCTGCTCCTGCCCCTGCGGCTAAGATGACCGGCCGCCACCTTCTGCAGGTGCGATACATTGACTTCTCAGGCCCAATTTGTGAGCTGTTGTGTGATCAAGGCAGCAGCAGAAGCCTTGCAATCCTGCGCAATCCCTGTGTTTGTGAAGCCTGTGGCATGCGCCTCTTGCAGGCGACCAAGAAGGCAGCCCCCGCCCCTGCTCCGGCTGCCAGGACGGCCGGCCGCCACCTTCTGCAGGTGCTGTTCCTTCTCCAGTCAGGCTTTTGCCATGATCAACCGCATGATTGAGGCAGGTCAATGCATGCCACTGTGCGGTGTTGACTTTTAGGAGTGAAGCCTGTGATGCCACCTTTCGCAGGCTAGCAAGAAGCCGGCCCCCGCCCCCGCCCCGGCAGCAAAGACCATGACAGGCCGCCAACTTCTGCAGGTATAGTTCAATGAACGGCCAAGCTCACTTCTGCTGATGAACTGCACGCTGAAGGCAGCCCAAGGCATGCCATATTGGAATGTCACTTCATTTGTAGCTCATGACCAGCACCTTGCACAGGCGACCAAGAAGCCGGCCCCCGCCCCTGCGCCGGCAGCTAAGATCACCGGCCGCCACCTTCTGCAGGTGCATTTTTACTGACCGGTAACCGGCACCTTTTGTTGATCAAGTGCATGATCAAGCCAAGGGAAGCCCTGTCATCCTGCACCATTGCCTTTTTCTTAATCCTGTGGCGTGCATTCCTTGCAGGCGAGCAAGAAGCCGGCCCCCGCCCCTGCGCCGGCAGCCAAGATCACCGGCCGCCACCTTCTGCAGGTGCATTTTTACTGACCGGTGACTGGCACCTTTTGGTGATCAAGTGCATGATCAAGCCAAGGGAAGCCCTGTCATCCTGCACCATTGCCTTTTTCTTAATCCTGTGGCGTGCATTCCTTGCAGGCGAGCAAGAAGCCGGCCCCCGCCCCTGCGCCGGCAGCTAAGATCACCGGCCGCCACCTTCTGCAGGTGCATTTTTACTGACCGGTGACTGGCACCTTTTGTTGATCAAGTGCATGATCAAGCCAAGGGAAGCCCTGTCATCCTGCACCATTGCCTTTTTCTTAATCCTGTGGCGTGCATTCCTTGCAGGCGAGCAAGAAGCCGGCCCCCGCCCCTGCGCCGGCAGCTAAGATCACCGGCCGCCACCTTCTGCAGGTGCATTTTTACTGACCGGTAACCGGCACCTTTTGTTGATCAAGTGCATGATCAAGCCAAGGGAAGCCCTGTCATCCTGCACCATTGCCTTTTTCTTAATCCTGTGGCGTGCATTCCTTGCAGGCGAGCAAGAAGCCGGCCCCCGCCCCTGCGCCGGCAGCTAAGATCACCGGCCGCCACCTTCTGCAGGTGCATTTTTACTGACCGGTAACCGGCACCTTTTGTTGATCAAGTGCATGATCAAGCCAAGGGAAGCCCTGTCATCCTGCACCATTGCCTTTTTCTTAATCCTGTGGCGTGCATTCCTTGCAGGCGAGCAAGAAGCCGGCCCCCGCCCCTGCGCCGGCAGCCAAGATCACCGGCCGCCACCTTCTGCAGGTGCATTTCATTGACCGGTGACTGGCACCTTTGTTGATCAAGTGCATGATCAAGCCAAGGGAAGCCCTGTAATCCTGCACCATTGCCTTTTTCTTAATCCTGTGGCGTGCATTCCTTGCAGGCGAGCAAGAAACCGGCCCCCGCCCCTGCTCCGGCGGCAAAGATGACCGGCCGCCACCTTCTGCAGGTACAATATAAAGACGAGTCAGCCCCTCTTTTGCTCAATTCATGCTTGATTCGGTCAGGCTAAGACAAGCCATCATCCTGCGTCACTCTTAAACCTGTGGCGTTTCTTTCCTGCAGGCCAGCAAGAAGCCAGCTCCCGCCCCTGCACCCGCGGCGAAGATGACCGGCCGCCACCTTCTGCAGGTACAGTTTGTTTATCACTCAGCTGTACTTGCCATCAACTGGAAAGGGAACGCACCAAAAGACACCACAATATTCCTTTGTGAAGCCTGTCTGCGTACCTGTCTGCAGGCGACCAAGAAGGCTGCGCCCGCCCCTGCCCCTGCAGCAAAGATGATGGGCCGCCACCTTCTGCAGGTACATCGACTACTCAGCCCCAGTTCTGCTCATCACATGTGCAAAGGAGACAGCCAAGGGATGCTATCCCACGCACTGTTGCTCCTTTCTGTTGAGCCCTTTGATATTTGCTGCCTCAAGATCTTTTTGGTGTCTTGTCCAAGCAGTCAAAGTGTGATGTGAGCTAGCGATGGACTGAGAGGGGCATCAATTGTCCAGTGCTTCATATTTGGATTAAGACGACATTTATGGTCACTGGCTTTCCAAGCATACAATCGAGCTGGGCTTAATTGGAGGTTTGAAGCCTTTGGTCTGCAGGCTGAGCATGTCTGAAAATGCACTTTCAAAGCACCTGCCCAGACAAGCCATCAGGGCTCTTTTGCTGACGTAAATTCGCCGATCGAGGGAATAAAAATGCAGCGGGTGTAAACTTTAGGGGTTTCGTTTAGGGTTTAAGGTTTAGGACATTATTCCCCCTGAGGCCGACGATGTTGAGAAACCCCACAAAGACCAGCCTGCCCTGTCATCCTGCAAAGTGCCACTTGGCAGATGAAGCATGTTGTGGGTTGTACAAGCTTGTGAAGATTGAAGAGTGAAGAGTGAAGATCGAACATCGAAGATCGAAGATCGAAGATTGAAGATCGAAAATCGAAGATCGAATATTGAAGTTTGAAGTTTGAAGATTGAATATTGAAGATTGAAGATTGAAAATTGAAGATTGTGTGTGGTTTTGCAGTCGACTGGGCCTCTGGATAATGCAACCCCCAAGGATGTGCCTCCACCGGCGCAAGCCCCCAGCGCTGGCCGCCATCTGCTGCAGGTGCAGATTTCGAATTTGAATTCAAGATTCAAACAGATTTGCCTACTTTGTAAGGAGCTGCGTCACGGTGTCCACCACCTTCAAGACACCCAAGGATGAAAGCTTGAAATGCTAGCGCCTGATGTATGGCATCACACCCCGCAACGACGCCTCAAGAGGAGTGTTGTATGGCATGTCAAGTCGCTGTCTGCTGCTGTCAGATGTTAGAAGTGGCCTCCTGTAAAGTTAGAGTCTGTGGCAAGAGTAAGCTTAAGATCTCCTCTCAATCCGGTATGTGTGGGATTATGTGCAGGCTGCTAGTTCTGGCCTCTCTGCTAATGACAAGGGTGAGCATTTCCTCTATTCCTCACACCAAAGAAGCACCCTACCCTCTGTCTTTCAGTCTGCGCGTTGAGAGTCTAATATTTTGGGAAGTTTCTAGAAGTTTCTAGTGTCTGTGTTGCTTGCATTGCTGAATGCTGGCTCCTCTGCTTTCCTTCTGGCCTGCCCAGATAACTTGTAGTAAAATAGAGATCTGCAGTAAAGTGCTGTCAGTGTGTCACTGAAACCTGGGAGGCAGACATGCAAACAAGTGCTTGTAATCCTAGCATTATTTGCTTTGCTTGCCAAGTGGCAACTTGTGCCTGCAGACAAGCTGCATGAAAAGCTGCTAGACTAAGAATATGCATGACAGAGTAGTGAAGTGTTGGATTATGCATGCAGGCTCTGCCACGATCAGTTCCACGGGCAACAACGGCGTTTCCGGCACCGGGGCGTCCGGCAGCGGCGCATCGGCCGACCAGGGACGCAGCCAGGCGACTAATGGCGCCAGCATTGCACCCGCACCTGCCCCCGCCATGTGAATACACCCCTGGCCAATCTACCCCGCCATGTGGATGCACCCCAGGCTAGTCTGCCATGTCAGCTCCGCCATGTGAATACACCCGAGGATGATTTACCCCATCAGCGGTGATTTACCCCAGCCTTGTCAGTCCACCACGTGGATACACCCCAGCTCAATCTGCCAGGCCTGCCCAAAGTGAGCTTGGGACTAGCGCCAGGCAGGAAATAAGATTCCCACCGCTCGGCTTCGCCTCTCCAGGTGAATGATGCGCAGGAACAAACATGTCTGGTCCATTCTTGTCTCTAGACGCAGAAATGAGACCACTTAAATTTGTCCATGCAGCAGAGCTGGCATTCTAGCATGCAGTTTCCCGGTGCCAACGCAGTTTGACACTCGTCCAAGTCTTAGGGGGTCTACATGATGTGTTTTCCCAGAGGAATTCCAATGGTATGCACGTGCATGTAGTTTCTGCTTCTTGTGACAAGGAGGAGGCTTCCTTAAGGAGGAATGAACCCTGGTGAATCATACAAGAAGCTACCACAATTGCGCTGCTGCATTCTGCGCACAATTGATTTTGCTGTGTTCTTGTTCAATAAGCACGCCATTTTCAGATAGAGTGCAGCGGGAAACATTGCAGTTGCACAATGCTATTTTAGCTGGAGCCATTCTTTCATTCTTTTGCAGCGGAATGTTTGTGGAAAGTAGTCTCTACACCAAATCCTAGCTATTGAGGGGAATGGATGTCGATACAGCAAAACACCCTGACGCACCCCGTTAAAAAATTGCAGCGCACGCAGTGTAAACGTGTAAACGTCAACTGTTTTTATTCTCAGATCATGCTTGACGACGTTGTAAAGTTTTGTCCTGCTTTGATTTGCTGAACCTTTTCTTGCTGACGGGCTGCAATAAGATGAAGCAGTAGGAAGTTCCAGGTGTTGTTAGATTGCGTTGACCCTTTCAAAGTTGGCTGGAGCTGTCACACAGTGTGTTTAAGAGCTCTCGACTCTCAGCAGAGTTTGCAGAGTCAGCGTTCAGCATGAGTCGTGCATATGCTCCATGACGTCCAATCATAATATGGGGGCACACAATACAAAAATTCATCTCCTAGGAGCCAGGTCCAAACAGCTTCAAAATCGGTCCTGAGCTCAAGAAGACTGCATGCATGCTGCTTGCATGCGCGAACGGTTACATAAGTGCCTGAATAGGCTGGCCGAATAAGCAACCGTGACGAAAGCTGTTGTCGGCCTACAATTGGACTTCGAAACATCCCCGCTGCAAAAGTAGCTAGTGGAACGTTGTGCTATTTGGAAACGCTGAACAAGGTGAGCTTTCTGGTGCTTCAGTGGATCGATTTATCGTGAACACCCGGACACCGACGTCAGACCACGTCCTGAACAAAGAATTCCTTTTTTCTGGCGGGGAACAGGTTCACGCACTCTGAGCTGTTGAGACGGAGATAGAGTGTCTCAGATATAATACAAAATATATAGAATGAGGTCCTTCATCCGTATGAGCGTCATTTGCGTTGTCCTCATGCTTGCCACCGGCGGCATGCCAGCGGCACAAGCAGGTGAGTCTGAAGCACTCTGGTAGGATACTTGTGCTTATGTAGTTGATTTGATTCTGGATTATATCCGTTGTGTTGAGCCTGTCCTTCTCCTATGTGCGTTGAAGTCACGGGCGAAGGTGCAGCTGCGTGTTACCTTCGATCACGGTCTTCCGCACCTTTGCGATTTGCTAGGCTAGGCGCTGGACCTTGTCAGTTGCTTCTGTCGCATAAAATGTGTCAGCGAAAGTTTCACGAGCCAGACATCCCCGTGGGTCCACGTGGGTTTGAGAGATCTGCGCATCTCTTCTTCTGTGTAGCTGCTTCAGCTAAAACATCGTCCCCTTGCACGTGTTATCTGTCGCAATTCACTTCTCTTTCTGACTGATATCATACGAATCGCAGGCACGGGGGCCGCCCTTGGAAAGAACCCAATGGGTCGCCACCTTCTGCAGGTGCGTTACTCTTTATCCTTTAATTCGCTGTTCTATGGAGACGATACACGACGTGGGTAGAATGAACCAGCATTCGCTCATGTCACATTTTGAAACGACTCCACCGATTTGAGACTTTTTTCGTGGCTACAGCCTTGAGGATGGCGAGCACAGGTCGTCCAGTCACACAAAGCGTGACGATTTCCTTTCATGCCTCTAACAAGGCAATTCGTGTTCGCTTCAGGGCACAAACGGCGCAGCATACTCAAATGGCAATATGGGCGGCAGTGCTGCAATGGCCCCAACCACTACCTTGGGCCGCCACCTGTTGCAGGTAACCCAAATTCAATTCTGATGGCTCAGACTGAATGAAGTATTTTGTTACACGTGCCTCTCGGACCAGATCACAGAGCCACCCTGTCCACCCATCAGCCAGTGCCCACTTTCCCAGGAAAGGCAGTGCCACTGTGCTTCAGTTTCAGCGTGCTTCAAGGAAGCTATATCTAGCAGTAGCTGTGAATAATGACAGTGCTAGAGCCTCCTGTATGATCTATTCAGAGATGCACTTGTCAAGGACTATAGGACTGATGCGTGGGTTTAATCAATGCCACAGGGCACCAGCGGTGCAGCTTATGTAAGCGGCAGCGAGACCAGCGGATCGGCTATGGCGCCAAGCAGCGGCCGCCACCTGCTGCAGGTCAGAATCACTGCTTGGTCAACTTTGGGTTGCTCTTTCTTGGAAGAGTGGCTGTGAGCAACGTTGTTGCAGATACAGGCATGCTGCTATCAGTGAGCTTGCTGAAATTCAAAGCTGTCTTCATTGCCACTGCTGGCTACTGTACATTGGCCCATCTCCGAGGTCCTGCAAACAGATACTTCACATGCTGATTTTGGGTCTTGGAGACTGATTATCACGTGCGTTGTTGTGACAGGGCGTCAACACTGCAGCTTACACTGCTGACAGCGGCATGAGCAGCGGCTCTGCTATGGCCCCAATGAGCGGTCGCCACCTGCTACAGGTGAGGGAACATTCTCTTTTGCTCACCTTTCATATCTCTTCTACCCTTTTACCCTGTATCTAGAGGCAGCACTTCAACATTCAGATCTGGCTTGACGGCATTGAATGATTGTTCTTGATGTCTGTCCAAAAAGGCCTCATCTGTCAAGACACGTGACCAGGGCCCACTGCCTTCAAATCCGCCCCTGCCCACTGCCTTAAGGCTCCTCAGTGACTCAGCAGTGACTCAGGAGTGATTGTTTGCTGTCCCAGGGGGTCCACACTGCGGCTTACACCGCCGACAGTAGCATGAGCAGCGGCTCTGCAATGACCCCAAGCAGTGGTCGCCACCTGCTGCAGGTGAGGACAGTTGCTATCCAGTATGTTTCGTTTCTTGTTGTTTCATGTGGCTACAACTGCCTCTTGCACCACTGTGAGTGAGCAACCCGCATGCGGTCAATGCTTATGCTGCCTACAGTGCTTCTGAGGTTCTTTGAAGTGTACTCGTCCAACTTCGTGAGGCTATGCTCTCATGTGTGCTGCTGTATCAGGGCGTCAACACTGCGGCTTACACTGGAGGTAGTGACAGTGGCATGAGCAGCGGCTCAGCAATGGCCCCCAGCAGCGGTCGCCACCTGCTGCAGGTCAGAGCTCCTGCCCTCTTTCTCATCGAATGCTGATCAACCGACCTTCCCTATCAGAAGCACAGGCAATATTTGTTAGTGCAGAGTCGCCTTGCATCACCACCCAAACATAGCTGTCAAGGCCCGCCCTCAACCTTACTTGTTGAACAATGCCCACTACCGATAAGAAGCACTTGACACATTGTGAGCCCACTATGACAGACTGTGTCTGCCTTTGTCCCAGGGTGTGAACACCGCAGCTTACACCGCTGACAGCGGCATGAGCAGCGGCTCTGCTATGGCCCCAAGCAGTGGTCGCCACTTGCTGCAGGTCAGAGCTCCTGCCCTCTTTCTCAGCGAATGCTGATCAACCGACCTTCCCTATTAGAAGCACAGGCAATAATTGTGATTGCAGAGTCACCTTTCACCCAAACATAGCTGTCAAGGCCCGCCCTCAACCTCACTTGTTTAACCAGGCCCACTACCGATGAGAAGCAATTGACGCATTGGGACCCCACTATGACAGACTATGTCTGCCTTTATCCCAGGGTGTGAACACCGCAGCTTACACTGCTGACAGCGGCATGAGCAGCGGCTCTGCTATGGCCCCAAGCAGCGGCCGCCACCTGCTGCAGGTGAGGACAGTTGCTATCTAGTTTGTTTTGCTTCCTTTTGTTTCATGTGTTGCTGCATATACTACTGCTGTAACTGCTTCTATCACCACTGTGAGTGAGCAACCTGCATTTGGCCAATGCTTATGCTGCCTACAGTCCTTCTGAGGTCCTTTGAAGTGAACTCATCCGATTCCGTGAGGCTGATGCTCTCATTTGTGCTGCTGTATCAGGGCGTCAACACTGCGGCTTACACTGGAGGTAGTGACAGTGGCATGAGCAGCGGCTCAGCAATGGCGCCTAGCAGCGGTCGCCACCTGCTGCAGGTGAATTATTCCAGCTTTTCCTCTGCCTGCTTTTATGCTGATTGAGGTGCTCTTGCTTTCACAGGGTCTATCCCGGCAGTATGCAGCATGCTCTGACTATCAAGCATTTCACATTGAAAGTGTGTTGGCATGTTGGGCCTTGTGCCCCTTTAAATTATTATTATTGTTACGCAATTTTCCTGCTAGAAGCCAGGTGGTCTGCAGACAAGCTGCAGTAAAGGCTGCCAAAATCCTACCCCTTGATAGACTCGCCAGTTTCAAGCAAGACCCAATCAACCGTGGGCACAGTGCCCAGTATTTATACCGCCCCCTGCCAGCCGGCCCCTTTAGAAAGATTTAATGTCGAAGTCTGGCTGCCGGCAGCAAGACTGACCCTCTTGTGTGCTGCTGCGACAGGGCGTCAACACCGCAGCTTACACCGGAGGCAGTGACAGCGGCATGAGCAGCGGATCGGCTATGGCGCCAAGCAGCGGCCGCCACCTGCTGCAGGTCAGAATCACTGCTTGTTCAATTTTGGGTTGCTCTTTCTTGGAGGAATGAGCAACGTTGTTGCAGATACAGGCATGCTGCTGTTAGTGAGCTTGCTGAAATTCAAAGCTCTCCTCATTGCCACCGCTGACTACTGTAGATTGGCCCATCTCCGAGGGTCATGCAAACAGATACTTCACATGCTGATTTTGGGTCTTGGAGACTGATCATCACGTGTGTGTGTTTTGACAGGGCGTCAACACCGCAGCTTACACCGCTGACAGCGGCATGAGCAGCGGATCTGCAATGGCTCCCAGCACCGGCCGCCACCTGCTGCAGGTGCGAGACCTGAAAGCTCATCCCCTTGCCCCCGTAATCAGTGCAATATCTACCGCTCACTAGCCTTTACGAACCCTGAATTCGACCTCTCAAAGTGTCCTTTCTTGCGTTCCCGGCGATAGGCACCTGTGAGCAGTTCGTGGGCTAGTTGCTGCCACTTGCTTTCATATTCTAACTTGTTGAAGGATTCAGATATGCTTGCGCGTACACGCTTGTCCAGGACTGCAGTGCTAGGTGCGCCCTGACAGCACTTCCACAGGTCTCCTTGGACATTTGCTTGACGAATTCTTAATAATCGCGTCTGCTCCCGTGGGCAGGGCACAAACAGCGCGTCCTACTCAGCCGGAGGCTCCAGCGGCAGCGACAGCGGCGCATTCGCAGACCAGACCATCGGGCAGGCCACCAACGGCGGCGCGGCCGCGCCGGCACCTGCCACCTGAGCAACCCCTGCCTCAGTCAGCTGCCTTAGTCATGCTCTCTGTAGAGCAGTCTTAGTCAGAAACTCTTCACAGCTGCCTTGTCTCTGTACATCCTCTGATGGGCCACTTCTGGCGCCAGATATAGGCCAGGGCCAATTGACACCGTTCATAGTTTCTTCACTATTATACAGGCCTCGCCGCAAGGCTTTTGCCTCTTGCATGTGCAATTTTGGTCCACACCGTTTTCCCTGGAGCGTCCAACTGACTCAAGAGTCGTCTCCTGCCTTCACTGTTAGGGCAAGCAGCGGCCCGCGGGGTAGTCTAGTTAATGCTTACTGTTTAGTCAGACCGACAAGGCTGCTCAGGGCAGGCCAAATAATTACATAGATAATGTCAGGATGCTCATTCATTTGTAGCGTGTTTGTCGTCTGTGTGCTGACGCTGTGCACTTGCTCATGTGTCTACCTTGTGGGCCTGCCCTTCCATGGCTTGCCAGTTGACAAGACCATTACATCATGCTATTTATTACAAGGAAGCCAAGCTTCCCAATTACCATTGGTGTCCAATTTGCAGACTTTGGCCCCCATCCACTGCCTCAGGCGATGCGCTTGGCTGAATTTTTGCAGGCGAGAGGTTCAAGGTGTTGCAAGGGTATGTTGCTACAGCCTTCAAGGAAGGTCTGGAAGTGGGTTTTGCGTGACATGTCCTGACAGTTGCACAAATGCTGACAAATAATGCTGACAAATAATGGGTTTACGTATGGGCACAGTATAGCTTATTGCTTCAGAATCTGCTCAGGCGCTGTTGAAAGCTCCTGAATGTTGCATGAATGACGAACGTGAATACAAGTCCGGGGATGAAATTGTTTTATTTTTGAGCAGCAGAATACTATGCATGCCTGCAGTGAAGGCTCGTCAGGCAGAAGACAGCTTTAGCCAATGGGGGCCCTGGGCCTGGCACGAGTTTGGAAATATCTGGCAAAGATCTGCTGTTTGATAATTTGGTTGTGGCTGGCCATTTATAAGAACATGCATGTGATTGTAATTGTCAATTGTGAGGTCCCAAGTAGCTGGTGTGCTGAAGGGCGGGACGTTCTTCCGCCCCCGTCCAGTCAGTCTCTTGGGGTATTTGCATCAAACAATTCTGAATCTGACATGTCTTGTTTAAAAGCACATGTGATTCTAGCTATTTGCTGTGCCATGAGAAGACTGTGTGTAAATGAATGATGTCACGTGATGGTGCACCAGAATATGTACATGCGAGTGCGCATGCATGCAGTGCAGCCTGTGAATACTTGAGGGATTGCCTTGCAAGAAATGCGCAGCGGAAAGGACTGTACATCATATGCATAAGGCACCCTACAGTATCACCAGCAAACCGATTCAAATGAGTTGTACAGTTCCTGTGGAAAGGAAGGAAGTAAGATTACACATGTGTGACATCTTTGGGGTGCGCCGCTGTGGGATACCTGAATCATGCATTGAGGAGAGTCTAAACTTGTTAGGGTTGCCACGATTGATGTCCAGTCAAGCTGGTTGTCATATGATTCACTCTCACACAAATACATATTCGTCTTTTGAAGTCGGTATCAACATGGTAGGTAATTGGAAGCACGCAAATAAACAGGGGCTCAAAAGTTGATTGATGCCTTTATATATAAATCATTCAGGTGCTGGCTATAGTATTCGGCAGCATTAATAGGTGTAAAGTCACAGACCTTATATGATTTAGTTTTGGCTCTAGTAGATCTTCTGAATTGGCAATACTTCATTTCAAGTGAACTCGATTTTCAGGACCGCCCATGGCCCAGTGGTGAAGGAGGTGTCTTGCATCAGCACTCGATCGAAATCTGTGAAACGCAATTGTGACGTCTACATCGTGCAAAGGATTCGTTTGACACACATCTGAGTTTTGTTTTGTTTTACACTTGCAATGAGCGACTGGTCACCGTCCACTTTAAAAGAACGTTTGAACACCACTCCATCATGGATTTGGACGGGGATTGTTGCAGCCCCTGTGGCCTGGTAGGTCTTCGGTCCATCAAATTAATTATATGAAGATTCATTCTGGATGACTGTCTGTCTCAGAATGCTTTTGTGCACCGTCGCACGAAAAGAAGCATGCTCCGTCCTGACTGCTTCATGGTGCTCGGCAGGTACGTGTGCTCGCGGCTGCGCAACAGATCACCTCCCACAGAGACCTCCTTTGACGCCTTCCTTCGCCCTGGAGCAAAGGCAGTAAAGGCGCAACGTAAATGCATCTTATTTAGCACCCTTCCTCCCTGCAGGACCAGAGAGTCTTCCTTGAAAGCCTTTTCCCACTTCTCCTTGTCGACTGCTGCAATGAGATGGTTTGCATTGTCATGCATTCGAGATCGTCACTTGCAATGTGTGCGCAAATTTCTTAGCAGGCAGGTCTTGCTGCATGTGTCAGGTGATGACAGGCCACGCCCCGCTGCCAGTTTTTCAGCATTCCTGAAGCGGCCAGAAGAGGCGCAGAAGCCGGTCAGGCAGGCTGCCAGCTTCTCATCCTTTCTGCGCAAGCAGCCAGATCAGGCGCAGCCGACGGCAGTTGCGGCCACTGAGAATTCAGTCAATGGCGCGGTTGCGGCGGTAGAGGCCGGGCCGGGCCCAGAGCAGAAGCCCGTAACGGTGCTGTACGGCACGGAGTATGGGTTCAGCAAGGAGATTGCCGAAAAGCTGGTGGGGAAGCTGAAGGAAGGCAGGGAGCTCTGGTGCGCCCATCGGCCTTCCTCCGTGTACAATAAATGGTACTCGAACACAGGAGTTCGGCGCTATTTCATTCCATCGTGTCATTTCAGGCAATATTCAGGACCTGTAGAAAGTTGCTCGGCAAAATTAGATAGCAGATGATTAATGACTATTACTTGATGGCCAGTCAACTTCCAAAACATACAAATTTTATCCTGGAGGAGGCTGCCTATGCAGGCCGAGGCTGCTGGACATGGCAGAGCACCCAGAAGGATACCCGCTGGATGCTGAGCAGGCGCTGCTTGTTGTCTGCTCCACACAGGCAAACTCACTCCCATTTCCCAGTTGTGATGCCATTTGCCTCTCACCCGCCTTCCACCGGCAATTGCCCTCCCACTGACATAAATGGAGTGCTCTCATCTTTGACTGGCTAGCACCAATTTTCAACAAGATGCATTCTCATAGGACCAAGACGCCTTCTTTGCTTTGTGGTACAGTGCTGTGCAGTGATTTAGAGACTTACTGTGCTTCCGCTCAGGTCAACTCTGATGCTGTCTGAGGTGAAAGTTGGTGCACAGGGTGACGGCGTACCTCCCAGCGAGGCAAGGGAGTTTTGCGATTGGCTGGCGGGGGCGTCGGCGGCAAAAGTGGCCGGCCTGAACTTCTCAGTCTGCGCCCTGGGCGACACGTGAGCTCTAAAATTTGTCAGGCATTACCTGATGTTGCTGTATGTTGCGCTGATAGCAGCCCTGCAGCAACCGCATTTCAGGACAGCATCCAACCTCTTCCCTTTAGAACGCACGTACAATAATGCCGGAAAGTGGTTGCACGCAATCTATGGAGCACGCGAGCAGCTTATCTGTCTGCTATCTTTTCTGAATCCGTTGGCCACTAAGGCTACTAACTTCCAACTTCTGGAATCGAGACTCTTGTCTCTGTCCAGCAACAGACCATGATGGCTGAGTGCACTCTCTGTGCCATTCCAGGTCGTACACGCATTTCTGCGCATGCGGAAAAGCAGTGGACGCCAGGCTAGAGCAGCTGGGCGGCCAGCGCTGCGCGCCGCGGGCGGACATCAACCGAGAGGACTGGAAGGCCGTCGATGCCTGGATTGAGGCCGCTGTGCGCAGCCTCTCCGAGCTGCCCCTCAAAACGCTCGCGCAGTCTGCAGGTGTGCTGTTTGTGCTGCTCGGTGACCGCTTTGAGCTGGAAGCACCTCGCAACTTTCACAACTCTTATTGGAAACATGCGTGCTTGCACTTGACAGGCCCATGGGTGGAACGAATCGTCAGCTTGTCGACGGGTGGAATTCGAGCTTGCCTCAGATGCCTGCTGATGGGGAGCTTTCATGCCTTGATAGGCCTCCAAAGTGCTTGCATGCATACCAATGTTTCATTTCGCTGCAATGCATGCGTGATCAGCGCACGACTTCTGGGGGATTCCTAGCCATGCAAATGGGGATCTAACCAACACAAGAAGACCGGCAATGAGCTGCTTTTTTAGGTGCATGCATGCATGGCCCCGCCAGCCGAGCACCGTGCCCCTTGTGTATTGGGTCTTGCTTGGATCTGGCGAGGCCCTTCTAGGGTAAGACTATGGCAGCCTTCAATTGCAGCTTGTCTGCAGGATGCACTTTGCCTGTTGGCAGGAAAAGTCTGTAAAGAATGATGATGATACATGCATGGCCACAGGTGGGCAGGCCGCAGGGGCGCAGCAGCAGAGCGCGCCAAAACAGAAGCGCTGGGGAAAGTCGCGCCCGTTCTACGGGCGAGTGGTGGCGATCGAGGGGCTGTGCCAGATCAGCAGCAGCGATGACAAAGACACCATCCGAGTCGAGGTGGACCTGGGTGACTCAGCGCTTACATACACCCCTGGCGATGCCCTGGGCATTCTGCCCACTAACTGCCCTCAGGTGCCGCTCCTCTTATACCCTGCCTCTTCAGTCATTAATTTTAGTTGAATTTTTTTTGGCAGATTGGCATCTTACCTGCAGTGTCAGACATGGAGTCAGGCCAGTGAGAGATTGCTCATAAGACTAATGAGCCTCAGGTGGGTCTGAGAGATCTGTGACATGTGTTGTCTTGTATTTGACGTTGTAAGAGCCATGTTTCTACATTGCTGGCACAACAGGTAGACACTGTATCCTCCGTTTTGTCTCCCTGTTCGGTGGAGTCACATGCTTGCTGCAAAGTCCTGATCACTTATTCTTCTGAATTACTGAGGGATGGAAGGTGAGCATGGATGTGTGCATGCATGCAAAGGGGGTGGATGAGCTGATTGAAGCACTGGGAGCAGCCAGGGACACTGAAGTGCCAGTCCCTTCATGGCACTACGAGGAGGCGCCGGCCAGGACTGGAAGCACCATGCCTCTGCATGAGGCGCTGTCCAAGTGCTATGACCTCAGGTGCGCGTGCGCTGCGTTTGTATAAGAGCCTAGCAAGAAAGGAGAATGCATACTTCACATGCAGTCCGTCTGAGCCTGAATGGCGTATGCTGTGCTGGTTGCATGCATTGTATCCTTGTCCTGTGATGTCCAAGGTCGGCTGCATATGCCGGGCTGAAAGTAAGTCATTCTGGCCGGCCATGAGATTTGCAGACATGAAATGCACAGTTTATTCTGAGCTGATTTGCATCGGGTGCATGCATGCAGGTCACCAAAGCCAGAACTGCTGAATGTGCTGCTAAGCAGCATTGGAAGCTTGACCCCGTCACATGTAGAAAACGGTCTCCAAAACGGCGTTGCACATGCAAACGGAACCGTGACTAAGGCCGCAGGATCAGGATTGCCAAATGGCAAGCTTGTAAATGGTCATTTCAGCCTGCCTAACGGTCATGCATCATCTTCTCCAGAGTCTGAGGTAATCCCTCAATTTCATGTTCAGATTTCAAGTTTTCCTACACCTGTCCACATCAACAAGGAATACAATATTCGTGCTGGCGGTTATGCCAAGGAATGTGTATGCATTCTTTTCCCGTCAGGCTTCATGAGGTTCACTTCAAGACATGGTCATTTTCGTGCCATCCCACCATGGAAAATGACACGCAACGGAGGCACGAATTGGTGCACCCTGCCTGTCGTCTAGTAATGACAGGGTGCGTGTGAACTTTGGAGCAGGGAGAGAAATTGAGAAAACTGCTAGCATCGGGAGAAGCCAGCAGTGAGGCCTATTTTGAGCCGAGGCATGTCACCGACGTGCTGCAGGACTTCAGTGCAGCCAAGCCTGACCTTCTGAAGGTGCGCGTGCTTTCCTCAACATGGCATGCATGTAGGATTTTGCTAGTCAGCATGGACGCTTAGTTGCTTCTGCCCCTTGACACGATGAAATATGGAGTGTGACACCATACATGGCTTCACCTTCTTTACCACAAAGGCATGGCGTATGCCTGAGCGGCGTGCATGACATGGTGCCAAGGCCCTGCTAAACGCCAGGGCTGCATCCTCGATTGCATAGCGGTCATTGCGCCAAGATAACTGGTCACGAGACAGCAGTCCTGTCTTATAGGCCGGGCCTTGGCATGTGACACCGAATGAGTCAGCACTCTGATGCATTGTGCGCTGACCATGTGCGCCGGACTCTGTCTTCTGTGTGTGCCAGTGCTATTGTCAGCGCTCCCTTAGGAAATATCAGGGGAACATCATTCTGCCTGTGCCTCATGCGCTGACGGGCCACTGAGGTGCTTCAACAGTGCCCCTGATTAGTCTGAGCTGGATTGGTGACTAACCTGCTGACGTGGCGCGAGCAGGTGCTGGCAGCGCTGCGGCCGCTGCTGCCGCGGCTGTACTCGATCTCTTCGTCGATGCTGGAGAGGGAACGCAGCGTGCAGGTCACGGTGGCGACTGTGCGGTATGAGAGCCTGGGGCGCCCGCGCATCGGCGTTACCTCCACCCTCCTGGCCGAGCGCCTCAAGGTGCATCTCTTTTCGATTTTTTTACGTTGTTTATTGTAATTTGTCTCACAGCGTGCATCTGCATGCCAATTGTGTGGTGGTGATTGAGGGTAATATTCATTTGAGTGGCAGTGAAGTCTTTGCTCAACAAGTAGGAGCAGCAGCTGTAATGCAATGAGACCAGTCCAGAGGCACTCTGTCTCGCACAAGTGGCAACCATGATGCTATGTGATGCTCGGTCTATTCTGGTTACTTCAGCATCTGGACACTGCGCGGTGCAGAGCCCGTTGCGCATCCCAAATCTATAATGCAGTACTTGCAGTAGGTTCAACCAGCTCAGCAAATGTCATTGGCAGTCGCGCATGTGCGCAGGTCGGTGATGTCATCCCGGTGTACATCCACAAGAACCCAGATTTCAGACTGCCCGCGGACGCTGCCCGCCCCATCATCATGGTCGGGCCAGGCACCGGCCTCGCCCCCTTCAGGTCCGTCGACACCTGAGATGTCTGGTGTAGCATGCAATGTATTCCGTTGCTGGGGTCTGTTGCAGATTGGCGGGTGCGCCATGCTGCTGGGCATGAGACTTGGCACAGCAATTATGTACTTTTTTGTACTTTTTTGGATGTAGTGGAGATCAGAGTGTTGTCGTACTGGTTGGCGACATGCTGCTGCCGATGCTTCTTTAGTCAAGTCTCAATGTTCGCTCTGTGAGCTTGCAAGCTGCAATCATTGTCATGCAAAGTTGCTCTGAGAGACTTGTCCAGGCAGTGGAAATGGAACTTTCTACTCCAATGGAAAGTCTCATCACCGCTGTTGGGGAAAGTCATTGCACAGGGCTAAGCCTGCATGAACCTGATGCTGTTGCCTGGTGCCAATGGGGATGGTTACAGCCGATACAAGTAGAAATGTGATAGGCTTTGGTAATTTTACATGGTCTGTTTTCCTGTGCACAGGGCCTTTATGCAGGAGCGTTTACTGGGCAGAGCGGAAGGCACCGAGCTGGGAGATGCAGTGTTGTACTTCGGCTGCCGCCGCTCTGACCAGGACTACTTGTACGGGGATCTGCTGGAGCAATGGGCCGCCACTGGCGCCCTTACGCTGTTCACTGCATTCTCCCGGCAGCAGGTACATTTCTGTCCTTTGGTGCCTTGCCATGCGCCAAGCGTAGCCCTTGCTGGCATCTCCGTTAGAATGAACCCTGCGCTTCATGGGCACAAGCTCAGAGGAAGAAGATGTGCATTTGAGGCATTTTGGGATTCCAATGAGTGCAGCTCTCTTGCCTACAATGTCTGCATTCTTCTGCATTCCCTTGATGACATTTGCAAAGAACACTGGACATCGCTTCATCCAGCCAGCATGTGTGTGCTTGCATGACTTGCTGGCATGACTTGCTGGTGACTCATCGTACGCGAATGTGGACACAAGGCGTGAATCGCACATGACTCATCACGCATGCATGAGGAATGACAGGACATGACTCGCCCGTGACTGAAGTTTTACGTGCGCAGGCGCACAAGGTGTATGTTCAGGACAGGCTACGCGAGAGCGGCCAGATCGTGTGGCGGCTTCTGGAGGCTGGGGGGCACTTCTATGTCTGCGGTGATGCTGCGCACATGGCAGGCGCTGTAGAGGAAGCTCTCCTGTCCATCATCGAGGCAGAGCAGGTACTGCTTCACTGGTCAAAATTTTACATGGGCATGCATTGATGTGTATCCTTGAAGTAAATGACGACGTGTCATCCCAAGGGGAAAAGAAGGGAAGTGCGAGACTCTGACATGTCAGGTCTGAAGCATGTGATCTGCTGGTGGTGAGCATTGGCTCCAATGCAGGACATGCAAGACTTGAAGCTTTGTCTTGCTACAGCTCTTGGTTGATGAAAGGAATGGCATAGGCCATGTCTGCCTCTTCCGCACGGCGAACTGCTCTGTCTTCAAAAGTTTTGTAAGTCAGTTAAGGGCTTTTTGTGTTTTCTTCCAGGGCAAGGGGCCTGAAGCAGCGCGTGCCTACCTGGCAGACCTGACAGCTCAGCAGCGCTACCAGCGGGACATCTGGTATTGAAGATCAAGGGACTCGCAATCCTTAACTGAGTGTGTGCGTTGCAACCAGCAATGCATAAACTGCTTATTCTTTATCAAAGGAACATTGACTAGCGTAGAGTGGGGCCAGATCATGGACTGTCAGCTGGCTGGGTACTGAGTGCTGCGAGCAATATTCTTTGAAGAAGCTCATTGGAGCTACTTCCTCATTGTCACGATTTGTTGAGACCACTGTGCCTGAGTGCACGAACTTGCGCAACTTGCTAGCTCCGCATGAGCTGAGAGATGGTTGAGAGCTACTCATACTTGACTGTCATAGAACCATTTTCAGCCTGAGCAATACTAGCCAGGTATTAGTAGAGATCTGTAGAGCCAGGCAATTTATTATTGCATCTATAATAATAATGCCTTAATGCCTGTGCGCGAGCATGTCCCTGTGGTGCATGCTTGGGGTGCCTGAGCAAGAAGATGGATCCAAGAGAAGGATCCTCCGGAGGCTGTACTAATGGGAAGCTTCCTGCAGGTCAGCGCTACGGTAGGGGTGCATCAAATGGTTAACAGCACTCTTTGTGGTGAGTAAGATGGTAGTGTGCAAGATGGTAGTGTGCCAATGCTCTTCATTGAATTCTACAAGAAGTCAGTGCTTCAATGTCTCTGTAAGGAATGCTACAAGAGGTGTTGCGGCTCCGCAGATGTGCCTTTCGTGATCACTGACTGGGCTGGGAGTGACAAATCCATGTACATTGGGATTGATACATTACTCGTACAGGAAAAGGCTGCACTGCCTCTCAACAACTGTGGCATGCTGAGCATCATTTTGCGAACCGATTGTAGATCATTTGCAGGAAAGCATGCGGCACTTAAGTAAGATTCTTATGTAAACAGAGTGCCTGATTAAGACCTCAGCATGCATAGCATCTCTGAAGGAGCAGAGTCGCCCTTTCTCTGCCTCGCTCGCTTTATGCATCGCAAGGAAAGCCGATCAAAGATAGGGGCTGGCGACAGGATACAATTGAGTGGCGAAGGTCGTGCCTGAAAGTTAACGCTTGGAAGGGCGCCAAACGCGTCGGTGTGCCTCGAAGACGTTTGCCGGCCATATTTAACGCTTTCTCTGTGAAAGTTTACTCTCCTATCGGTGCTGCTGTCGCCATGCGCATCAAGGTGACAGGATCCTCAGCCCTCGGCCAAATTCCCTCGCCAGAAAAGTCGAGCCCTGAGGTGCTGAAGAGCAACAAGCAGCAGGTGCTACCTTCTGTCTCTGCAGAACAATTGTGAAATATTCAACAGCGGAATCGGGAGTTCGTTTGCAGGGCTGTGCCTTCTAAGCATCAGTGAGGCCTGCGTTTCTTCCTTGGCAGAGCCAAGAGTTTCTTGAGAAGGTTTCAAGGTTTCAAAACTCCAACGTTGGCGTGCTTGCCGTTGTTTTTCGAAACGAAGAGCCACAGCGTCCACCTGCTGAGGTTTCAGAAGACTGCTCAGAGCAATTTGCTCTGTCTCAAGGGTGCAATTTGTCTCATCTTGTGTTCTTTGTGAGCTGCTTGAGGTTGTCCAACAGGAGTGTCCAGGAGGCTTCCAATGCCCAGAGTGGATGCAGAATGGAGTGGTGAAGGCAATTCTGCAGGGTGCACAGACAAAATGCCATGTCTGCCAAGCAACAGGCGCCACCCTTCGCTGCGAATTCTCATCCTGTCCCCTCAGATTCCACCTGCCCTGCGCTGTCCAGTTCAACTGCCGCCTGACTGTAAGTATCTTTCCACCTCTTTTGTGTCCCTAGCCCTTTGCATAAGCAGCTGCAAGCTGGAGGCACAGAGTTGCATGCAAGGCATCACTGCCATCTGACGGGAGATTAAATGCATGAAGGACAAGCTCTGAGCATCAACACACACTCGTAATGCAAGCGTTTACAGAATGTGCCCTTGCAAGTTTCAATCCCAATTTCACATCTAGGCCTTAGTTTGCATTCTTGTGCAAAGATCATGTGTTCTATATGGCAGCCATGAATGAGCTCTTAAAATGCATGCCCTGACTCCCATAGTTTGGTTACTGTATTTGCTTATATTTCTTGTTAATGACTCTTGCTTCTGGTGCATGCAGCCCACCACCGGACAGATTCTGTGCCCAGCGCACGACTACCTGGTGGAGACTGATGTGGAGACAGAGATGGAAGTCTGCAATTCAAGCAGCGGCGGCAGTCAATTCAACCCAAGCAGCGTGCATGCATCAGCGGTGAGGAGGAGCCTGCAGCGCATGACAGCGCAGCGGCAGCCGCCACAGCCAATCGTGGACGAAGTGACGCACACACTGCCGCCTCCTGCAGACTTGCCAGCAGTGGCAGAACAGCAGCCGCAGAAGCCAGGCCCTCCTCCTCCGAAGCCAGCGAGTGCACGCCAGCAGCAAGCAACGCGGCTCAATGATCCAAACACAGTCAACGCAAGCCAGCAGCAGAAACCAGGCCCCCATCCTCAAAAGCCAGGCAGTGCAAGCCAGCAGCAAGCATCATGCCGCGCTGTTCAAAAGACAGCCAGTGCAAGCCAGCAGCAGAAACCAGGCCCTCCTCCTGAGGAAACAGCCAGTGCAATCCAGCAGCAAGCATCAGGCCCCCCTCCTCAGAAGAAAACCAGTGCTAGCCAGCAGGAGCCGCAGAGGGAACGCCGCGGGCCTGTGCCCTCCAGTCAGCAAGCAGTCACCTCTTCAGGGGGCGCGCCAAATCAGGGCATGGGAGAAGCGCGGCCGCAGGAAGGTGTCTCTGTCGCGGTGCAGGCTGCGTCAGAAGCTGACATCTCAGAAATCTCATCCAATATCACTCCGGACGGTTCACCCCCGGAGGGCGCTCTGACTGGCTGGCCAACCCCACGTGAGATCCAGGGCTTCCGAGACTATCTGGACCTCGTGAGCCTGGCAAGCAGAGCAAGCCTTCAGGAGCAAAACGGGGCAGCGGGCCACAAGAGTTCAAACCCAGCCTGTGCAGGTGTGTCACTGTACTTCATGTCAATTTGGCTCAGACAACTGAATGAGTAACCTGCTGATGCTGGCGCATGCACACCTTCCAAGCTGGCGTCTCTGATGCTCTTTCGAGGCTGCCACCATTGGCTGTGGGTCTTGAATGAGTCATAATGTAGTCATTTGTGGCAAAGCACGCAAGCACATGGCAAAGGTGCATATGCCGAAGAAGCAGGGTGACTCTGCAGAGCTCTTTCCTGTGAGGAAGCTTGTTGTTGCTTATTGCAACTGCACAGCTGACATTTTTCCATGATATCTACAGCAGGCGAATCACAAGAGCAAGAGGGGGCACAGCGGCGAGGGCAGGCACAAGATTTGCAAATGGAGGAGGCGGCACCACAGGAGCAAGATCAGGCAGCCTCATCACCGAAGGTGATGCTCGTCTTAACAGAATGGTAGCGCAGCTATCTATTTTGTGTTCCTTGCCATCAGCAAGACTAGAAAAAATCTTATAGGAAGAAAGGGGCCATTATCATTGGTTTTATCATATGCTTTCCTGCCAGAGGCAAGTGCGTCTACAGACAAGCTGCTTGTGAAGGCTGCCACACTCCTTACATTTAGGGCCGTTAAGAAAGCAATTTGTTATGACAAGGCCTGCCGCCATGTCATGCAGGAGGCAGTACAGGGGCGAGGCAAGGCAGATGACACACAGGAGCAAGATCAAGCAGACGATGCTCCAATGCCAGAGGCAGCACAGGCAGACAATGCACCAATGCAAGACACGGCACAGGAGGAAGATCAGGCAGCCTCGTCACCAAAGGTGATGCTTGCCTTTACAAAATGCTTGTGCAGCTGTATCTGCAGAATTCTCTGACAGCTGGCTGCCTTTGTCTTTCACAAAAGTAGTGAGCCGGTAACACGGCGGCCAATCACTTGTTGACAAAGCTTGCTGGGATGATTTACAGGGGGTGCCGCCACAGGAGCAAGATCAGGCAGACGACACACAGATGCGGGAGGCACTGGGACCATTGCTGATACTGGGAGAGGCCAGCAGCAATCCAGGAAACCAGGAGGCCGAGACCCCCCTGCCAGCAGGCAACAACAGCCGCGCCGCGCGAGAGCGCCGCCAACCCAAGCGGCTGGCAGAGGAAGTGGAGGGGCCGCAGTGGGGCTCTCCTGAGAACCCAACCTATCACAAAAAGAAGTCTTCCGAGAAGCTGCCCCGCAGCAGTGGCCGCGGCCGCGGCCGCGGCAGGGGCCGGTCCTGAGTGCGCGAGCAGCTCGCATTGTGAGCATTGCCACACCAGGCTGCAGACTTTTGTGGGCCCCGCAGACGTGGCTACAGACGCCCTGCGTTTATGCCCTATGGCCTTTCGCTTGGGGTGATTATTCTTGTTATTACACGCTTTTCCTGCCAAGAGGCAAGGTGCGTCCTGCAGACAAGCTGCAGTTGAACACTGGCATAATCCTACCCCTTGTTGGATTCGCCAGATGCAAGCAAGACCCAATCAACCGTGGGCATGGTGCTCAGTTTTTACATCGCCCCCGCCAGCCGGGGCTTGGGGTTTGCCAACCTGTAATATTAACTGAAGCTGACTGGGAGGACTGCAGCAACAAGCAGCCGGTACAATGGGCAGGAAAGTGGGCTTGCAGAAAGGCTGACTAAGCTTATGAGATCGGGGGGGCTGCCCAGGGCTGTAGAAATAATAAAAGGTTTGGATGCATGAAGAAGGAAACAGTCGTGGCAAGGAATCAAGTGGCATCTCAGACAATCAGCAGACGATGGTCAGCAATTTTCGTTTTGAAGGCGATGACTAAGTTCATGATGATCAGAGGGCGTGCGGCGGCACAGACGCACAAGACATGAGAGATGAATGGTAGCAACTGCAGCAGCAACTAGCAAATGCTGCACATAATGGGTGAATATTGCAGCAGCATCCAGCACTGGACTGGCAAGAACGCATGAGCTTGAAGGGTCTAGACTTTCACCATGCGCAAATGATGACCGAAGCTTGTCAATGACACATGCCATGGCAGGGACAAAATTGAATTTTTGCCAGCAGCACTTGCATCTGTGAATTTTGATGTCAACAACAGAACGGCATCCCTGATGTGGGCAGAGCAATTCAGGGAGTGCATCAACTGCCACTGAGTAGATTGGACATTGCTCCGGAGACACAGGCAGCGATCCAATACTACACAATGCCTGACTGTGCACTACCGGCGCAAATGGGCACTGAAATTGCTTGGCATTAGAGTATACAACTGCAGAGGGTTTTGTGTATTCTGCGCTAGCTTTCAAGCTGCAACAATGTGCTACCTTGCCACCGCAAGGTTCAATAATATGTTCCTACTGTGTGGTAATAACATGATGCTTATTGAAGTAAGTTTGGTGGGTTCCCTATGGCCTGTTGGTCCTGGGTGTTTGCAAGCTTCAAGAGGTGAGGGGCTTTGCCCTAGCAGTATCACTCAGGCATGCCTGTGCCCATGATTACACTGACTTCTAAGCCAGCACGCAGGGTTGTCTGCGTATATCATCATAGGGCACCGGTTGCAAACGGCTGGCGAGTGTTTAGTCTTGCAAGCTGTTCGCCAAGGCAAGGTCAGGATACATATGCTCCAAACATATATATACCTCCTCCAGAGATCGCCTCACGACGATAGAGACTCGCACTTACCTCCGTGTGGTTACGATGTCAGATTTGCGAGTGAGCACGAGTTCGTACCCGTCAGATTGCGGAGTTGGAATGGAAGGTCGACAGGCCAGTGGGCTGCCCGCCTTGGACGGGCAGGACGCCATGAGGGCTCCATCACGATCAAAATTGAATGTTGTGAGGTGCACATGAAGTAATTCGGGTGCGACGCGGACATGGCTTGGACGTCATGATGCGTGTATAAGCGTTGCTGGTCGCCTGTTGGTAGCGCGCAGCCTTCTCTCCAGCGACGTCACAAGTAGACCCGCTGATCCCTCGCGAACAGCTTTCAGGACATGCAATCGAGCTCGGCGGGGACCCTTCATCAGGTGACATGTGATTGCAAGTCACATAAGAAAATTTGCTTCGGGCTTGGTGCGATGAATAAGAGCGCCTGAATCACTGCCTCCATATTCATCTTGAAATGTCTGTCGCCCTGATTGAGGGAAATTTTGCGGGCTTTTTGTTGATCCGAGGAAGCCCTTTCCCAACATTGCGTGATCTTGGTGGCCATTATGATGCCTTAAAATAATTAGCACTCTAGCCGACCACCTGGACCTTTCAACCTATTTCATTCTGAATCCTGACGTGTCCGCCCTGACCGATCATCTTTATGCTGCAGAACGACGTGATTAGAATGAAGAAGCTACTTGGGGACGCGGCCAGCTCGTTAGCAGAAGGCACAGACGGACTTCAGAGGTGAGCATCAGCCAATCGCCTTCATAAATTTTCTTCTCAATTAGAGTCCTTCTGTGCATTTATTGCGACCCAGATGCATACAAAGCACGCTTGAATGTCTGCAACGATTTCAAAAGGGGCAGACAATTAAAGAAAGCAAGACTTTTCCTGAAGGCCAAAGGCTTGCACAGGGAGCTGTTTGAGACTCGCAAGGATCTGGCAGCAGTGCGCAGCGCAAAGGCAGAGCTAGAGGGCAAGGTCAGCAGCGCTGAGAAGATCGTCGCTGGCCTCAAGGTACAGCAATCCGTTGAATGAGTGCACTTGCAATGGGGGGGGGAACAGGACATATATACCCGCTCCATCTTCATCAACCTCACAAAACCTGACTTTGCCGCCATGTAGAACAGGAACTGACATGCAAGATATATGCCCCTGGATCAGACGTCTGGCATAGTTTATACCTTCCGTATCAACTCCTGCAAATGGGTTGAAATCTCCTGTGGCAGGACACACTGCGGCGGGAGCAGGGCGCGGCGCGCGCAGCGCAGGCGGCTGCCGATGAGGCAAACGCGGCGGCGACGGCCAGCATGGCGCAATTTCGCAAGCGGCTGGATCGCGAGCGCGCGGCGGCCGTGCAGGAGACGGAGGCGCGGTGGCAGGCGCGGTACGAGGACTTCAAGAGCGAGTCGGTTGTGGTGCTCGCCAACAGCTCCAGCGCTCTGGAGGCACGCTCGATTGCTCTCTTTATCGTGTGAACAGAGACGTGCAGGCATGCTAGGATGCCCAAAGGATGTTTGTCCCGCCAACATGATATGGGCATTGCGAATTGCTGTGGAGTGCAAAAATTGAATGCCACTCCTGGGATGATGCCTGCGCGTGCGCACCCGGTACTTGCAGATCCTTCATGGGGACCATAGAGACAGATGGTGCCATGATGAGCTTAGCCCCTGGATTATTCCACACTGGGCGAACTGACACAGCTTCATGTGCCACATGAATGCCTCTCTTACTCGACGTGAGGTGCTGGATGGTGCAGGCAGCGGAGGGGCAGCTCAAGCAGCTGAAGAAGAAGCTGGTGGCTGCGGAAGCCAGCCTGCAAGAGGAGAGGCGCCAGAGAGGCATTAGGTGTGCTCCAATCCTCTGGGCATCAGATATCTGAACCTCTCATACCGTACTGCCTGATCACACACAAGTGTCCACCCTCACAAAAACAAAAGCAAATGCCATATGTCAATAATCGACTCCTTGTCTTGGTAGTACTGCGTCACAGTGCGCAACCAAGGCGGCGATATACATGGATTGCTTCACTTTGCGCAATCTGCTGCGCTGATGCATTCAACACTGCACGCACATCTCAACGATGACACAATTTGGCTGTTTCAGAATGCTCAGGGCCTACCTTGCCCAAATGTATTCCTTCAGTCGCATAACCTGCAAACGATGTGCAATTGCAGGGAGGGCGCTGCAAACAAGGTCATGGGCAACGCTGCAGCGGCGGAGCGGGACGCAGCAAGGAGGGAAATGCAGGCATTAATGAAGGTGCACCAAGCGGAGGTGAACTCGCTAAAAGAGGCGTTCGGCGCCGAGAAGCGCGAGCTGCAGCTGCATGCAGCTGCTGCTGAAGCCGAGGCTGCCAGGCTGGACGCTGAGCTGGCGGCTGAGCGGGAGCGCGCAGAGCGCGCCAAGCAGGTGGGCGAGCAGCTTTCATCCTTTTTCAGCTTCTGTCCCTTTTAATGGTTGGCGTCGCAGAAATAACGTAAAACAGAAGATTTAGGCATTAAAAAACACCCCTGTCTTTCAGTGCTTTAACAACAGTGCTTCAATGGGGCCACACAGCTCAACAGCAGCTCAATGCGTGTGTGACCTTCTTGACAACAGCTGTATGGATTGTACGGGCATTTTACATGGACGCAGGATAACAGTGCAGAGCGCAATCGCATGACTGCTTAACAAGCTCCTAGTCATTGAAATACTTGTTGCCCAGCTGGGTCTGGTACCTTTTGCATTCCAATTGCAGGTGTGATAGAGGCACAAACTAATGCTCGTCTCAACATCGGTGCATTGCTGCACACAGGAGGCTATGCTGCTCGCGCATCAGCTGGAGCAGCACAAGGGGCGGCTGGCGGTGGCGCTGCTGGCGCGAGACCGGGCCGACGCGGACTGCGCGGCCGCTAAAGCGGAGCGGGCGGCGGCCGAGCGCGACCGGGAAGCCGCAGAGAAGGTGCTGGCGGAAGTCGTGACGCAGCTGGACGAGATGGAACGGCGGGAGGACGGCGCGCCGCCGCCGGCCGACGAGCCGTCGCCGCTCGCGCAGCCGTCGCCGCTGCTGCTGCCGCACCCGGAGGTGCAGTACGTCCGCCAGCCAGAGGGCGCGCTTGATCTCATCGCCGCGGCCGTTGAGAACGGCGAGCCAGCCAGCCCGGCCGCGCAGCGGCCGAGTCGGGACCCCCGCCTGGCGGCGGGGGACGTTGAGCTGCCCGAAGCGGGCAGCCCGGCGGGCGCCTCGCCGGAGCTGGAGCCGGCCGGCGGCGGCGGCACGGCCGCGGACGACCACATGCCCGCGCTGGCGGACTCGCCCAGGGAGGCTGGAGCACCCGAGCTGGCGCTCGCCGAACCAGCCGCCCGGTCGCCAGAGCCGGAGGCGCAACCACTGCCCAAGGAGAAGCCCCTTCCTGGCAACATGTGAGCAAGCACGCCCTCTTGAATGACTCTTTCAATGCTGTTTAGTGCAGGTGTTGGATTCTTGCCTCTTGAGCACAAGGCATACTGTCGCTCTCATTGCTGGCAACATTTTTCATAGTGATGTTGCTCATGCGGGACGTGGTTGTGGCTCAGGGCTGAGGTGGCTCCCTCGACAACGCACCCCCAGGCACCAGCTGATGCCACGTGAGCCTTTTCTTCTCAATCAGCCTCATCACTGCATGCATTGTTAGCCCATATTGTGATATTTGCCCAATCAATTCCTCACATCAAGCAAAGAATGGCCCTGCCCCTGGTCTCGAGTGCTATGAACAGTAGTGTGAGTGCGGTATTGTCATGTGCGGGCCCTGCAACTTCTTTGTCAATCGTCACTGATGATGGCAGCGGTGCACAGCGCTGAAAGCTGAAGTGTGCCGGCGCTGGCCGCAAGTTTCTTTTATCATGTCGCTGATGGCGGCAGCGGGGTTGAGCGGTGAAGTGTCATTTGCGCTGGCTGCAAGTTTCTCTTAACATGTCACTGATGGCAGCAGCGGGGTTGAGCGGTTGGGTGCCATTTGTGCAGGTGCTGGTTGTGCCAGAAGAGTGGCGCGCGGCGCTATGCTGATCTGGGTCCGCTCATGCACCTGCCCATCAATGATAAGGGCACCGACCTCAAGTGGCTCCATCGCCAGTGCCTCCTCTGGTCCCCCGAGGTGCCCCCACTGCCATTCTCCTCCCCTGATTGAACTCACCAGTCTTCTGCCTTGTGGAATTTTGGAAGAGGGCTGTAGGAGCGGCGTGCGTGATGGTTGAATTTATTTGGGTCCAACCCGAGATAGTCTTATTTCATGCATCCGCCGTGCCTTGGGCATCTCTGGCAGGAAGTTGGGGAAGGGTCTTCTATGGCTGACACCCTTCTTGGCCAGCCATAATTGTCAGCACTCTGCAAGCACCGTCAGCCCTGCATGCATGCCTTACACATGCCTGAGTCACAAGCCCGGTCCAGGTGGCAGGAGCTGCATGCCACGTGCGTTAGTGATTTGACTCTGCCATTGTGGAATACTGCTCTGCTCTAGGGCTTGAATGGAAAGAATGCGGCGTAGTCACATCCTTGACAACTCTGGCTCAGGCTCGGAAGATGTCCTGTCCCTCGCAGATGGTGGAGGGATGGGTCAAACCCCTTTTTCATTTCCCCTAAAATATAGGAGGTCAAGGGTTGGGCAGAGGAGTTGCAAACCCCTTTAATTGATCCCCTGAAATATACAGGTGGTGGAGGGTCGGGGAGAGGAGCTGCGCAACGTGGCCAAGGCGGTGTTCCGGGGGCGCAAGATAAACTGCAAGGCCTGCCTCGGCAATGGCGCCACGCTCGGCTGCAATGTCAAGGCCTGCCGCAACTCCTACCACCTCCCATGCGCCCTCGCCAAAGGCTGCCACCTGCAGGTACTCACCTGCCTCATGCTTTTCTTCTGATTCTGAACGATATTCAACGTTGAGCAATTTCCCCTGTGCACTCGCCAAGGGCTGCCACCTCCAGGCGCGCACTGTCAGGCTCCTTAATTTGATTTTTAATATGATCTTCCAACATCATATATCAACCTCACCCCTCGCCGAGGGGCTGCCACCTGCAGGCGCGCACTCTCACAGCACTCAATTGTTGATCCATTTGATTTACAAATTGAGGAACCTCCCATGCGCCCTCGCCCAGGGCTGCTCGTCTGCCTCATGATCTGCGTCTCACATTGATTGGATCCCCGGTGTTCTTACAGAACGCAACATTGCCATATGACATGTCTTTGCTGGAAGTGGCAAGAAACTTCTCAGTGGTGTACCCGACTGCACTGCGCGCGCTTAATGTGAAAGGTCTGCTTGGCAGCAAGCATGGATGACTGACCTTAACCTGTAGTAGATGACCAGGATTCTGCAGATTGCCCAATGATATTTCTGTGGGCCTCTGAAAAATAAGAAAATCGGGTGTCTTGGAGTGTAATCGCCCTGGTGGTGTATGCAGGAGTGGAAGGTGTGGTGCCCCAAGCATGCACCCAGAGTGCCAAGCCGGGTGGCCTTGGATCTCGGCAGCGGCGGTGTTGCCATGGATACTGATGACATGAACTTCAGCGACAAGGACAAGCAGGTCCGCCTCTCACTGTAAATCTTTATGCCTGTGTACCATTGTTAGCTGGTTAAAATGCTGGTGCACAGGGCTGCCTGGGGCTTCCATATGGTGCCGTCCTGACATGTGTTGTATTTATTGTGTGGTAATTTGTGCGCGCACAGGCTGCGGAGGTGTCTGAGCAGGAAGTCGCGAAGGAGCCTCCTAGCAATGTAGTGGCAGCTCCAGCCGGCAAGAGAAAACGGGCTGCGTCCTCGGCCAAGTCTGTCGCCGCCGAGGCGCCGGCGGCTGCAGCTGAGGCGGCAGCGGAGGCGTCTGATGCTGCTATTGCTGAGCCAGAAGAGCTTGCTCCTGCCGTGGACTTGGGCGCGGCTCCGGCCGAGCCAGAGGCGGCTGATGCCGGGCTGGCAGCCGAGAATGCCCCTGCTGCCCAGCCAGCGCCAGATCAGGCGCAGGGCCAGGCGGAGCAGCCGCAGCGGCAGCAGCCGCGGTCGGGGCGGAAGCAGGCCGCGCCTATTCAGGCGCCAGCGCCAGGTCAGCAGCCGGCGTTGGTGGCGCCGCCGGCCGCCGTCGGCCTAGCGTCCCGGCGCGCGGCTGCGCCAAAACCGGGGCTATGGTCGCGGCTGGCGCCCAAGGCGGCTGCGCCGCTGGCCGCTCTGCTGGCGGCCCGGGGCCGGCAGGACGCCCCTGCCGCGCCGGACACGCCCGCGCCCAGCGCCGCTGGCCCCTCTTCGCCTTTTAAGATATACTCCCCAGGTTCAGCCCCAACATAAAACTATGCAAGATGAAAGGCCTCGGAGTCTGTTAGCGTGACGAGTGGTTGCGATGTTTGGTGACTGTCAGTTTGCACAGCTGCAAGCCAGCCATATATCGAACAAAATGTTTTGCACAAAGCACAGAGTTCATCATGCGTGTCGTTCTAGGCATGGTCATCTACTCTAGCAAGTTAATGAGGTTGTGTTTGTGGTCCTGCAGACGGGCAGGGCATTGTGGAGCGGCTGCTGGACACGCTGTCTGAAAAGATCGGCGACGAGGTGACAGAGCAGCACATGCTCAAGGCCAGGAAGCTCAAGCGCTTCAAGGTGTTTCCTCATGCCACAATTCTCCATAGCTTTCATAAGCAAGCTCAAAATTATATTCTAGTCAATTTTCGTCTTGAAACAGCGCATTGATGGACATTCGCGCATCCCAGTCACATTGTGCCGGTGAGCTTTCTCATTTCATAGTAAATCTGCACTTATTCTGCATGCGGATGTCACCCAGGGTACATCCAAGGATCGAATATTATTGCCTTACACAGGAGAGAGCTCGTGCGAGCTCGGAGTACCTCGCCCAGCCATCTGAGCCGCCGTCTTTGCTTAGGGCGTCCAAGGGCGACAGTACACGCGGTGTCCCCCTGGTGCCACCGCCGGGGGGACCCAAACGCCGCTCCGCGCAGGTGGGACCCAAGCCAAGGGGTCCGCAGGAAGGGGCCCCGGAGCCGAAGCTGAAGCATCCGGCGCTTGCGGCCGTGCTTGCATCCGCCGCGTCCGATGCGCCGTCTGCCGGGACAGGGACTGATGCCAGCGGCATGACTGGCTCCGCCAACGGTACAAACACTCTCCGTCTTTTGAACACAGTACAGTCCTTGAGTCTGAGCCCAACTGCTCCTCGTCTTTGGCTGCTCATTGGATCTCATCGGCTGACGGGAAGGAAACAAAGGCGGGATGTCTTGTTGGGAGGAAAACAGGAGGCACAGCAGTGCATCTGCCAGCGTTTACAACGTGTCAAACTTGTCACTTTGCTGCATGCTGGTGTGTCTAGATACCTGTGAACCCCTGCAAGAGCACCCCACGTTGAGAGGTTGAGATGCGCGCAGGCGAGGGCCGGGCGCGGCCGCAGCGCAGCCGCAAGGCGCCTGAGCGGCTGGCAGCGATGCCGGAGGGGCCCCAGTGGCTCAAGCATCCCAAGCCCGCCGCAGCGCCCGAGGCACCCATTGTGGTGCGCCCTCAACTCTCCACCTCTCCAAGGGGCTTGTTAAATGCGTTTTCCTTGGTTTTATGAATCAGTAAATTGGGAAGGGGAGTATAAAAGGGGGGCGGGGGTGGTGTATAGTGCATAGTGTTTGAGGCGCACAGTGGTCAGGGTGGAATCTCACAGGCGTTGCTGGTGGACCGTGTAACTGCACTTCTGCAAGTCTGTCATGGAATCCACAAGTGCTGGCTTGCATTCTCAGTGCCTGGATGTGGTCTGTATCAAAGCTTGCATTGCCTGGCTGAGGCCCTTGGTTGTCCAATCTGCTGCTGCCGTTCCTAGTCTTGCCCACGTGGCCGTCCTGCAGAGGTCTCAATTTTTTTTTTGTGAGTGGTGACTGCAAATGATGATAGTGAAGTAGTGAACCTTTCGTGAGTGTGTGTTATGAGGAGGAGCCAGGTTATAACAATTCTGGTCGTTCTGCGCAGGTAGACTTTCTCAACGGTGTGGTGGGGAAGACCGGCAAAGGGAACGCAGCCGGCCGCAAGCGCCCAACGGACCTGCCCGGGGATGGGCAGCCCGAGCCAAAACCCGCCGCAGCGCTGCCGCGCAAACGCGCATGCAACTTGCCCTCGACGCAACGGAAAGACCTGGCCTCTCTGGTTGCCAGCTGACTTTTCATGCTCCAGCCATAAAATGCACAGAGCGGGAGGACTAGAGCACTTTCCCAAGCTCAGTAACTTGATGTGCTTGTAAATTGATGGATTTGTGAGCCAGGAGGCCGGCAGATTGCACCGGTCCAAGGTGGAGAAGCTGATTTCCGGAGCAAGACTATTCTGCAAGGCTTTTTTCGCATTGTTTGGTCATGAAAGAGGTTTAGCGTGTTGGGTTGGAGAATTGCTTCGAAGGGGTCCCTTCTCTGGGGCGCCAATGTTGACGGATTGTTGAGATGATTTCTGCAATGGAATGATGCTGGCTGCTGTGCTTGAGGGAAAGCTGTGCAGCATATGGTACAATGTTTGAGAGGGCGTTGAGAAGCACAATGCTGAAATACTGAGTGCACGCCAGAGACAAGTATCTCATCAACAATTGCAGGGACAACCATAGGACTTCTTGCGAGGTGACATGTAGGCAGGATTGAGTCGCTTGCTGGACCAATTTTGTTTGTTGTGGCATTGAGTTCAGAACATTGCAAGATATTGGAGAGGTGATCCATAGGAGCTTGAGGTTCTTTGGCATGCAGTGCTTATTTTGGCGCATGCAGTACAGGACATATGATGGGAGATGCATTTTGATGTCATCCATAGGACACAATGTAAATCATCTAAAAGCACAACACAGTCCTTGATTTGATTATACCTAGGTCTATAAGTTCTCTCATGAGTTGCTCACAAACAGTCACGGTGACTGCAGAACCAAAGGCTAGCACTTTGGAAACAGCACAAAATTTTAGGCAGACAAGATCTGTAGAGGCCTCCCGGGCAACACTGCATGCATGCATGCATATCGCACAGATCACAGTAATTATAATACAGTTACAGGTCGGCAAACCCAAAGCCAAAGGCCACAGTACACAGCACAGCTATTGCTACTATCTTAACACCTTCTCACAGTCTGTCTAGATATTTCATACCTTAACAATTATCAAAGGCACAACAGTCCTTGACTTGGTTGGCCTACAAGTTCTCGCATGATTTGCTCACTGACATAACAGTAACTGCAGAACCAGCGGCCAGGAGTTTCAAAATTCTACATAATCTCAAGGGAAACCAGATCTGCCCAGGCCTCCATGGCCAGCATGCATGCGCACAGAACGCAGTACAGGTATAGCCACCATCCTATCAGTTTCTCAGAGTCTGTCTGGCATTCTCAAACCTTCACAAGCAGCTGTCTCTCTAGAACGGGGCATGCTTTTTGACATTCCAAAACAAGCTCATTTCATGCCTTCAGGACCAGATAGATCTATGTCTCTGCATCTGCGCTGTTATCACCTGCCTCGCCAGGCATCTTGGGTGGCGTGGCAGCAAAGAGCGAGCTCACTGTCTCCTCCAGCATGCGTGAAAGTGAGGGCGACCAGCAGAGCCTGCGTGCAGCAGACAGCCTTCAAGTCAGACACCACATTTGAGCCGGAGAGAGTGCACAGACACGCCGAGCAGTGCGAGCAGCAAGAAAGGAGGAAGGTTGCCTAGCAATTAAACATTTCATAATTTATTCCACATTCAGGGTTCCCATGGCCCACAGCCTGGCGCGGTGTGCATGCTTGAAGGCTCAACATTGCTGACAAGACTCCCGAATGTCAAACTTTGGTGTAAAATCAGGCTTCGTATCAGTAGCAATTGTAAAAAGTAGCAAGAGAAGCGACATGCCTGTCAGGGGATGGGGTTTTCAGGTCAGGCGTGCGCATCTGGAGAGTCACTGGGGTGCAGCTACCGGACGGCTGCTGAGGGTCCATCTCGTACACAATCTCTTCATCCTTACTCATGTCCTCGTCATCAGCTGCTGACGCTGAATCTGCCATGCAGCCACTGACCTCTGCCTCTGCACCAGCGCTCCGCATGACAGACAGCGCCTCATCCATCTCACCCTCTCCCTCTAGATTTCCATTGCCTGCCTGCTGACTCAGCGGCTGGCCCTCTGACTCCTCATCCGACGGACCTGCTGCCTGCATTTCCACCTGTACGTGCACCTGTGCTGTGCGCTCGTCTGCAATCCCTGTAATAGGGATCTGCTGCATCTCACTCGTGCCAGCGCCCATCTCACGCCCTGCTGCTGTCTCTGCGGCCTCTGAGCTGAGTGGCGTGCAGTTGCCGAGGGACATGGACCCGAAAAGCTTGTCGGGGGTGTCTTCGAATTCGTCCCCGGCTGACTCCGCCGGGCTGAAGGTGCCCAACAACGCCGTCTGCTTGACCACCCGCTTCCTGCCGCCCTTCGGCCAGAACGCGCCCACCTTGTCCCCGTCAGCCCCATGTTGCCCCCCGGGCCCGGAGGCCGCCGCCTTGCCGCGCAACTGCGCTGTCAGGCCGCTCGTGGCCGGCTGAATGGGCATCTTGCCGGTGCCTGGGGCAAACGTGGGACCGCTCTCTTCCCGCTTTGCTGCACCGATCCTCTCTCCAGATTCCAAAGATGTCGCTGCGTCAGGTGGGGGCTTGCAGTGACCGGTCCCTGCTGGTGCATGCTCCCTGCTGGGGTCTCCAGATGCGGCTGGAGCGGGCCTGTCATCAGGCGTTCCTGATCCTGCAACGCTGTCCGTTTCCTCTGCTGACAGCTCTGAGCTCAGGCTGAAGGCAACACGGCCAGAGCCGCTGGCTGCATTGGCATCTGCACGTGCGGCATGTGCAATGGGAGCAGGCAAGTCAGCAGGCGATCCTGTTCCTGCAATGCTGTATGCTTCCTCTCGTGACAGCTCTGAGCTGAGGCTGAAGGCAACTTGGCCAGAGCCACTGGCTGCATCAGCTGCTGCAGCATCCTCTGTGCTCACAGCGGTAGCATCTGAAATGCGGACGGGCAAGCCAGCAGGCGTTACTGTTCCTGCAATGCTGTATACTTCCTCTGGCACCAGCTCTGAACTCAGGCTGAAAGCATCGCGGCCAGAGCCACTGCCTGCATGGGCTGCTGCAGCATCTGCATTGCAAGTGGGCAACTCAGCAGGCGTCTCTGTTGCTGTGATGCTGTACTCTGACTCGGGCCACAGCTCTGAGATCAGGCTGAAGGGAACACTTCCAGGCTTGCCGCCTGAATGATCTGCTGCAGCGGCCGCCGCTTTCGCTGCTGCAGCCACCGCCGCCCTACCTGATGCAACAATCGCTGCATGAGCTGCACCGGCCGCCGCCACGCGCGCCGCCACGTCATCAGCCGTCAGAAGGTTGCGTCCCAGCCACAGGTTCAGACCTCCGCCGTGCTGGCGCTGCACTGGCGGCTGGGGTGACACCGACGGGATGTTGCTCAGCACGCGGCTGCATCCCGGCTTATCGGCCTCGCTGTCCAGGATGGCGGATAGGCCGATGCGCGGAGTGCGCGGCTGCTGTGTTGGCGGCGGTGCATCGCCGCCGCTGAGCTGCCCAAGCGCCGTCTGACGCTCATCTGAGGATCCTGCCGCACGCTGATCCTCTGTAGCGGAGGCACGCGAGCTCCCTGCAGCGCTGGACCCCGCAAGCTGGGAGTGCGGTGCTAGCGCGGCCTCTCCCAATGTCACTGTCTGCTGGATGCTTGGCGGCATGGCCGTATCCAGCACGGCAGCTGGCGGCAGCTGTGTTGCGGTGGCTCCCGGCTGCGCCGCAGCTGCTGGGGCTGAGGCTGAGGGGTGCTCTTTTGACGCCTGCTCATTGCTCCCAGGCGGGTGCCCTGCAGCGTCCGTGGCTGAAGGGCCGTCCAGGCTCTGTATTGAGAACATTCCGCTGTCGCCCCCGCTGCTAGTACCGGTGTTGCTCCGGTGCGTGTGGGGGGCGCTCTTTGACTCCACATGCCCCTCCAGCCGCTTCTCCAAGGGCTTGCTGCCCGGTACGGGCTGTGGCGACACCGGCCGCATCGGCACACCTCCCATCTGAGGTGTCAGGAGGAGGTTATCTGTCGCCACCCACTCCTGCGGCATCATCCGCTGTTTGTATCTGGCCTCCTGTGCCGATGCGGCCGAGCGCTCCACACTGCCTCCTTCAGCAGCGGCGTCTGCTGATGTGCTGGGGTGGCCGCCGGGCACCCAAGGAGATGTATTCATCTGCTGCACGCTCTCATCGAGCGCCAGGGCCAGCATCTCTTGTGTGATGCCTGATTGCACGTGCTCTAGGCCGGCTGGCGCCTCTTTGCAGATTGAGAAGCAGCCGACGCCGTCGATAGCGGCTGCGCGCTGCTGGGCCATGGTCTGCTGTGCAGCCCTGAAGAATTGCGCTGCCCTGCGATTCCTCTCAGCCTCGCTGTCACCCTGCATGTGCCAAATGTGCCTCAACCAAAGCACTTTTGACAATCATAAATACTCTCAAATAATCATATCCTACATACGGATGGTACCATAACCATCTGGACCTTGGAAAATAATGCATCCCTTTCCAATGTTGAGGGTGAAAGAGTCCCCTGGGCATGCATGCCACATGTCTGACATGATAAGATGCACAATGGATTGGAGGAGCTTTGACAACATAAAAACATCACACAGGCATCCTGCCATGGTAAAGTCTGGCCGGGCAAAATGCGTACCTCAGCGCTATCCGCTGGACTGACCCCGCACGTCTGCCCATTTCTGGTGTCCTCATGCAGAGCTGCCTCCAGGTGCTCCTCCTCAGTGCCACAATATTCCTCTGCCATGTCTGCCCACAATCCCTCATCGCCTGCCTGCGCATGACTGGCCTTTCCAGTTTCAGCTGCAGCTGCATTTGTACCACGGACAGCTGCAGTGCGTTGCAACAGACGCCTCATATCTGATGAAAGCCGCCTCCTGCCGACCTGGCCTGTGGATGGCTCTGCAGCAGGCTGAGCAATCTCAGAGCTTCTATGCATGTCGGCCTCGATTGCTGCCTCTGACTGCTTGGTGGGCTGACCATTGGCAGACCCTTGCGCCTCATCCTTTTGGCTGGCCTCAAGGTCTCTACGAGAGCCGCTGCCAGACTGGGCTGTGGCATCGGCGGATGTACTGCCATCAAGTTCAGTTGCTGACTGTGTTGAGTCAGAGACGTTGGTCCTGGCAGAATCCAGGTCTTTGCTGGGAGCATGGGGCCGTCGTTGCTGACGCTGCCCCCTGCGCTGTAAGTCTTCTAGCCGCGAGTGCACCTCTCCTGCTGGAACTACATGCACCAGAAAAAGTTGAAGGAAGCATGCAAAATCAAGAAACACCACAACTGTGTCAGAGAGAGTCTCAATACACACGATGGTCAGTCATGGCATGGCATCTTGTTGACTTGTCTGCATGGGTTTGGGAACATCAATCTGCATGGCAACATTCATGACACCCAAGAGCGCCAAATGCATGCACATGAATGTCATGGGAAGGGCTGCATGCGTGCCTGGCAGTGACAGAAGGCGTGGAGCATTGTGCGCCGGGAGCATCTGAGAGAGTGGCAGGAGGGGGACCCTGGGGGTTCTGCCCCTGTGCGAATGGGGTGCACTGTCCATTTGGGGAAGCTGCAGCTGTGACTCATGTTTGCCACCATTCTCTGAGGAGGCCTCGTCTGATGCTGTGTTGCCTGAACCTGCATGCACGGCATGCCTCAACACTTACCTAATGATGAGAAGACATCACACATACAAGCAGGGTGCCACATGGTGGATAAATGGTGGCATGCATGGAGGCACATGTGCTCCGCCATGTCTCATGATGATGCTGCAGCTGATGCCATGTGCCTGCTTACTGGCAGTGCATCTTCAGCCACAGTGCACATGTATTATTTTCATAAGCACATGAAGATAGTCAAGGTAAGCAAGAAAACGGTGTTCCCTACTGCACATGAACATGAGGTGGCTACCCTCACCCTGACGAGCAAGAGGTCTGTCTGCAGTTGGCAGAGCCGGCACTGGAAGCCTAGGGGACCTGCCCCTGGGGGATCTCAGCTGCTGGAAGCGTGGAGATGCCATGTTGCTGGCAGAGCGTGGTGTCTGGGGCCTGCTGAGCCCTGAGAAGGCCTCATCTTCGCTCCTCAAACCACCACAGAGTTCTGTACCTGCATGCATCAAGACAAGGCTGATTAAGCGGGACAAGCATGTCAATCACAAATGCAATATCCATACTTTCAATACAACTCTGGACAGTTGTGTAATTTGAACCCACTGAGCTGCTCACTTGTAGAAAGATGTCTGCAATGGTGGAACAGCCTGGCGATGGGAGCCTCATAATACAAGAATTTATAGGCATGATTTGCTGCAGCGTCCTATATTCAATGCAACGGCCTTCCATAGACCGATCCGATATGCAAGGAATTTGTCGAAGCAGGTCATGTGGAGGTTCAACCTTGCTGGCTGGCTTGTTGGAGATGTCGTGCCTCAGCTCTTGGACTTACACCCGGCCCGCTGCAACGAGGCACAACAATTGAATAGCATACAATTTTTGGTGAGAAGCATCGCCAATTATGTATCCTGAACTTTGGCAGTGCAGCCAGCAACGCGCAAATGCTGTAAAGGAGGCTTCTACATCACAGAATGATGACTTCACGGTCAAATCAAAATTCAGAAGTGATAGAAGTACCTTGAGCTCCACCGTTTCACCGTTTTAGGAGGCTCCCTTCCCGCCATTGGACTTTCTATAGATGAAGATTCCGTTGCATTACTTGTCACGCTTAGTCTGTATGGATGCGGCGATGGCCTAGAACTTTTGTTAGCTGCGATCAAGATTAAATTTGGTGGACTTCATGCGCCTACTCCCTGCAGCTGGCTGGCAGGACCTTGGCGTGCCTGACAGCTGTGCCAGACCTCGGTTGCCTTGTGCGTGCTGCGCTCCACGTTCACCCGATGTTGGAAATGCTCGCTTGAGAATGCATTTAAGAAGTTTTGCAAGTCTCACCAACGCCTCCTGGATTGTATTTTTGATTGTCTGCAAGCTGGAGACTGGAATTGCCTTCCGTGTTGTGCTGGCACGGAGCACGCCGGGTTGCCTGAACAAGACGCCCTGAGCAGCCATCAAGATTTGTAAATTCGATGGCACAAACAAGGCAGGAGTCAGTTGGAATTCTCCCTGTGTATTGAGTGGATTTCGTACTTATGTAAATTGCGATCCTGGGCTGCGAATCCATAAATCAAGTTGCCAGCAATGCAAGATAGAGCTCCCATGCAGTCAAGAACGAGAGGGGCCGGGGCATCGCAGGCCCAACCCAGCGCGTGGGGCCTCGCAAGGTGCGAACAATTTGCTAATATCATATGTGTGCCTGTAATTTCAGGCACTGGAGCATCCACAGTGTTTCCTGGATACTCGTCACTATGCACTCAGTTTCTGATGATGGGCTGAAAAAATTTGCAGGGAGCAAGGCGTTTTGAAGAAGTGGCAAAATGCGCACCAAGATTCTTCCAATGGAAATGGTGATCACAGATTTGAGCGTCTGGAGCAGCAGGTTTGAGCTCTCAACACAGGCATTGAATTTATGGTTGCTTCATTTCCCCATATCAGTCTGCAATATGTTTCGGTAGTAAAACTGTAGATCATCGGTTTGCGTTATAGCTTCCGCTGCGGTGGTTGTGGCAAGTAGAGTGTATTCTCATCACGGCATCCCATCAGCATGGTTGTGTCCAAAAATCACGCAGCTGCGGGAGGCCATTGCGGAGAGGGACGAGATCCAGGATAAAATCAATGAGTACGACGCATACGTCCAGGTGCAAGTCATCCAACTCCCTAGCGCGATAGACACACACTTGTTTCAGCATTAACAAAAACTAATTTTTGACTGAAGCCCGAATGGAGCTGGCCTTGCTTGCATTTTGATTCTCCGGAATTGGCTTGATCCACGCACGACTTGGAACTAATGTGAATCGAGCTGGGCAACTGCAATCAAACGTGCGCCCTTTTATGCCAGGGCGTGCGCGACTACGAGACAGAGCTGCGCGCCAACATGGAAGCTATGGAAGCTGAGCGCAGCCGGGAGAAGCAGCAGCACCTGCGGAGGGCGCAGCAGGACCGTGACAGCATCGAGGATCTGATTGCCAAACTGGACACCGCCAAGAAGGACAGGTCAGTCCTGTGCACCCGTCCTTGTGCTGGCACAGGGATATAAAGTTAGATGTTAGTGAATGCTGTATGAATGAAAAGCTAGGTTCGTGTTCTCTGTGAAGCGTGACATGCTCCAACTTACTGATTACCATATGCAGCAAGTGCTTCCACTTGTAAAGCTGCATTTGTGCCCAAATGTCCAGCTGGCTCTGCCACAGACATCTATCGTGGTGGGTACCATGAAAAGTCTCAATACTCCTAGCAGTATAGTCACAGGAACCCATCGGGGATGTCTGCTCTGCAGGGAGGAGTTAGAGCGCGCAGCTCAGGATGCCGAAGCGCGGTGCGAGGCTGCAACCAAAGCCCAGGCGGCTGCGCAGGAGCAGGCATCAAAGGCGCAGGACGATAACAGGTGTTGCTGCCAGATCATTCCCCAATCAGAGCAGTTTACAGTAGTTTGCTCATTAAAAGCGAGGACATGCTCAAAAGCTCTTCTCTGGACCTTGGCCCGTTTGACGGAATTGTTTTTGTGCTGTGCTACCAAGCGCTGCAAATGATATGCTCATGACATATGTTGAGGAAGAGAGAAATGGTTATGCAGGAAGTTGGGGAGCAAAGTGGAGGAGCTCAGCAGGAAGCTGAAGGAAACAGCTAAGGAGAAGGATGACTTAGGCGCGCATCCTTGGGCACCTGCTGCACCAGACAGAAGAATTATTCTGAAGCAGCTTACTTGATTGTAGTCCATACCCACAATTGCTGTAGACCGGCTTCTTCAGATTGCTGTTTTGTCGGCGTTTTCCTGGCTTTACTGCTGGATCTTCATGGTCTTGCTGGAGTCTTCACCATGACGCCAATTAATCAGGGCACAATATGGATTGCCGACGAAGCTTGCCTTATGCGGCTGGGTGTTTGGCCATATTTCCTGCTCTGTGTCACTCCTGACTTGATGTGCTCATGGCCTGTTGCAGGCAAGAAGTTGGAAGAGGCGGAGGAGGATCTGAAGGCTGCCACATCAGCGCAGAAGGAGGCTGAGGTCAGCAACCGTGCTGACCACTTTGTGACGTGGACAGTGATAGCTTGGAAGCACATGTCATCCGGGGTTGGCTGTGCATGACTCTTTGCCACTTTCCATGTGTGCAGGATGTTGTTTGCCGCAAATGCACCTCACGCCGAATTTTTCAAATAGTTGCGGCCTGTGAACGCATACATGTTGCTGATTGCATGCAGATGCCTTGTTCTGCATGCAGTGCATTGTCATCATTGCAGTGCAGCGTACCGCAGTACCGAAGTACTCCAGTAAAGTATCACTTCTCTGGTCATGAGCTGTGTGGCCTGATCAGGCGGAGATCAAGGATCTGAAGAAGGCGGCAAAGGAGGCGGCGGCAGCTGCCAAGAAGAGGGAAGCTGCGCTGAAAAAGGCGGAAGCTGCCACGAAAGAGGAAGCCGAGGCGCTCCAGAAGGCCGAGGAGGAAGCTGATGAGCAGAAGGACAGGATTACTGAGCTTGAAGCTGACGTGGCAGCCGCGAAGACCCACGTGGTTACGCTCAAGGGGCAGCTTAAGACTGCGCGTGAGGCCAATGCAGCTTCTGGTGAGCCTTCAATGCGATCCCTTGCCACTCCAAGCAATTGAAGCAATCATATGGTCTTCTGAATTCGTCACATGTGCTTTGGGCACAGAAATGTGAAGTATTTCTTCTTATTTCCGGCCTACAGTGGTTTTGAGGCAGCAAAGGCTCAACACGTCAGCTGTCCTTTGGAGATGCAATTCCAAGCAAGCCTTGCGGCAAGTCGCAATCCCTCAAAATTTTCAAAAAATTAGATTACGATCTCTCCAACACTATCCAATAATGATGTTCTGAACCCTTTGTCGCTGTCTGGTGTCCGTGCTCTGGTTGAGCGTGTGCCGCGCAGATGCCAAGCTGGCAGAGCTCGACCATGAATTTGAAGAGGCTGGAAAATCTAAAGTAAGGTCATTGTTCCGTTTTACTGCATCCACCATCCATGCTGAGATGGAAAATTTGATGTGCTTGATCTTTAAGTGAGTGAGAAACCCCACAGAAGGTCATTGCTCCTCTTTACTGTCCGTGCTTGACTGGAGTCTTCCCTGCGCAGAGGCCAGGCTGGCAGAGGTGGAGCAGGGGGCAATTCTGCTGGAGGACAGGCTGGCGGCCATGACACTGCGCGCAGAGGCGGCCGAGCAGGAGAAGGCGAAATTGGCCGAGGGCCTCACGCGCAAGGGGCACGAGCAGGAGGAGGCCAGCGACGCAGCCCTGCAGGCACTCGCGCAGAAGAGGTGCTGTTCTGACATGCATGGGAAATTCGAGATGCACCTCTGCATCTCGCCATTTGAGCACGCATTGATGGTTTGGGACACCTGGCCTGTCTTCTGCCTGGTCTTCTGGCAGGCGGGTGCTGTGCGCAGGCCCTGTGTTGCCAACACCAACATCTTTGCCTTGTCTTGCCCATGTGCAGTCAAACCATGTGAGTGTCATCGGGAGTGCAGTATGCCCTTCGTTCCTTGAGGATGGTCCCAGTCTGTGATCTGTATCTTCCTGATTAGTGAGGCAGCTGCTCTGGACAGGATCTGACACGGATCTGCCATTGAAGTACGT